CCCCACCCCACCCCCCCCCACCCCCACCCCACCCCACCCCACCCCCACCCCACCCCCACCCCACCCCCACCCCCCACCCCCACTCCCACCCCCACCCCCACCCCCACCCCCACCCCCACCCCCACCCCCACCCCCACCCCCACCCCCACCCCCACCCCCACCCCCACCCCCACCCCCACCCCCACACCCACACCCACACCCACACCCACACCCACACCCACACCCACACCCACACCCACACCCACACCCACACCCACACCCACACCCACACCCACACCCACACCCACCCCCACACCCACACACACACACACACACACACACACACACACACACACACACAAACACACACACACACACACACACACACACACACACACACACACACACACACACACACACACACACACACACACACACACACACACACACACTCAAATAAGTGGGTGTTTGGCCCGCGGTTGTTTGGCGACTCGTTCGCACTCAAATGAAACCTCACATGATTAGATGCCAAACAAGTAATTGAGTCCGGCGCTCATATGTGTGGGTGTTTCTTGGCGCATGCACATGAGAAAAATCCTCTTGACCGCCAGCACGCCACCGAAGCTAGACCGGTCTGCAAATTAGCGTCTCACTCCCTGATTTCCCAGATTTTCCACTTTTTGGGGAAGTGTTCAACAAAGCAGCTTGGACCAGTTTGGGCTTACCAATCAGAAAATGACACATGGAAACCCGAAAAGGGACCCTTTGCCAAAAGCAGGATCCTTTGTGAGGGATTTCGTGTTCATGGGGGAGTTTTCATCTCTTTCGGAGCCCAGTCCGAGTCTCTGGATTTTCAAACAAAAGGTCACCCCTGAGAATCAAAAAAGCGACCTGCATCTGGGCTGCCAATATGAGAGGTTCTCCAAATGGGTTTCGGACCCGCTTTTGGTCGTTATTCTCGAAGGCAAAGCAAGAGAAGAGGACATCAACTGTTTTCGGGGACCCCGATTTTGTAGAAATACCCAAGGCGTTGCCGATCCGGGTCGAAAGGCGGCTTGCCACCTGAGGGCTCCATTGGACGCATCGAAGTTGTTGGAGGCATCCAGACAGGCGCGCTCCGAGCCGCGAACACGCGTGCGGCTGTTCACACGCAGAACTCGTCACTCCGCAGTGAGAGGTTGAAACCATTGAAACCTGAGACCCCGAAAGAGCCAGAGCCTTGTTTGGTTCAGAATACTTGGGGAGTACACCCCCAGCATGGGATCGTTTTCCTTCGGCCTCCCGTGCCTCAAAACACACACGCGCCCATATACCCATATGCCACTTCCGACGGAGTCAAGCAGGTGATGAAGACCAGGGGAACCAAACAGGCGTGTGGAAACCCATTGTTCCAAAAGGGCCCCCCATGAAACCTACTAAAAAGGTGGGGTGCTTGCCTTACTGACTGAAGCTATTGACCTCACCAGGCAGAGTTGCGACCGAAAGAGCCCTATGATGAAAGTTCCTTGCTTCGCTTGGATACATTTAAAGTTCTTGTGTGGGCAACTGAAATGATTTGACCTCTGGTTGCGCCCGATTTCAACTATGATCCGGTTGCAACTCTCGTGCTTTTGAGAGGGATTCCTTTCAAATTCAATCTGCCAAACCCCTTGGAAACCCCGGGGGGGAGGATCCGGAGGTCTGGGATTAGGGATCCATTTGCTCTGGGAAAAGCATTGTGGCGACGGGGGAGATCCTGATGGGGGAGAAGATGATAGGGGCGAAGAGGATGGAGGCAAAAGGACAATGGGCACAGATGGTGAGGGGGTGGTCGATAACATCATAGAAAAGGCCTTTCGAGATACCTCTGGGGCAAGTGACTAGGGTGATCTGGTTCCACTGCCCATACGCATGATGTATGATATCGCCTTTGGGCACAATTCAATTTACCCTCCTGCATAGCACTTAGGCTTTGTCAACCCTTTGTCAGGTTCTTCCTAAGTCGGAGAGTTCCCATGCCCAATGGTGTAACTTATTATGAATAAATGCGGGGGGAGGGGGTTTACTCCAGCTTCCCCCTTTAACCCGCAAAGTCATGTTTTTAAAGGGGGTCTAAGTTTGGCCCAAAAAGGGCATTTGGAACTCGACATCCATAAAAGGTGGCAAAAAGACTACGCGGTCATGTTATGTACAGTCGCTGACATGGTGCTGCGGACAAGGACATTTCTCCGAAATCAATGTCTTCCAACACCTTCTCCGCCAGTGAGGGAGGATACCGGGCCTAAACAAACAGGTGCTCAGTTCCCCTTTCCCATTCTGTTTGGGGGCGGGTTCCAACTGCCCAAAACAGGGTTCACTTCTTTGTCCGGCGGTTGCGGGGCAACGGGCATTTTGCCTCCAAAGGCAACAACCTTCATTTGGTTCCAAGCTATGCCGGCTGGGCCTGTTTCGGCGTTTATCGTGTTGGTAGCAGCAGTCAATAAATATCCATTGGACGACATGTTTGTTTTCTCTTTGAGCACCCAATTACTCAGGGCACCCACCCATAGGTCGCTTCTGCTCGCAGGCATACCCGCAGCCTTGCATGCTGCCGACCCCTGCAGGCTTAACAGGCGGGATTGGTGGGGGAGTTTGGGACCTTACAAAGGTGCCTAGACCCTCAAACTACCCTGAGAAAATAACAATGATTGCCCCAAACTGCGGTGATTCCTTTTTTTTGGTCAAGGGAAGTTTGAGGCTCCAGGTTGCAACAATCAAAAAGAGGGGGTTGCGACCGCACTCATGAAGGTTCCTTGAGGCTATTGGAGCCCCACGCCAAGCGAAGGACCCCCCCAAACCCCCAGGAAGATTCGATCAGACACTCCAAGGTTCCAACCTCTGCACAAAGTCGGTACGCGGGACAGTCCGAAGCCTTGTTGACATGAGCGGCTCAAATATCGGATTGTGATTGCCAGGTGTGGTTTCAGAACATGAAGATTAGGGGACCTCATTTTGATTGTACATGCTCACGTTGCCAGACCAAAAGTCGTCACTTGGGATTCCAAGTCTAAGGGTCCAAGGTGCCCAGTTCGGGTCTCTCTGGAAGCTTCCTTGCAAGTGAGGCACATTTTTTTGGCGATGGCTCCAAACCACCCTTGTGTTTTGTTTGGGTATTTTGGTGGGGTTTTGGCAGCCAGATATGGAACAGGTTGCCACCTTTTGTGGCCAAGGACATCCTCAAATAGTCGTGATGGGAATCAGCCACGTTGGAATCACAGAAAAGGTAAATTTGCGCAATCATGAGTTCTCAGGAGAACGTCAGGTACAGCGGACAAGCGGTTAGAACCTAGAAATCAGCCAACACAGCATGACTAGCTTGACAAAGCGACGACAATGAGCTTGATGTCTGACTGCAGTTATAATCTGATTGTGTCAGGTTGCAGCAGTTGTTGGTGTGTGTTGTTTTTTGCAGCTTATTGTAAACGCTTCGCGTTGCCCGCCTCGGCCAGAATACTTTTGGCTGGCTTTGAGGTACTGTATTTTGGTGTGCCTTCAAGTGTTGTGTTTGTTTGAGTGAGTGCAAAGATAGAGAGTGGGTGCATGTTATGGCTTTAAGGGTTGATAGAGCAAGAGCCGCAGTCAGAACTGGGGCCAAGCGAAGCGTGAAAGAAAGAATACGTAAGGGATTTGACTGTTGGGCCCTGGTTCTAGACGGAATTTTACTGGTTTCTCCTGGATTTGGCCGGAGTTGGACCGGTTTCCAAGGATTGGGCTGGCTTCCAAAGGTGAATTTGACCGGTTTCTAGGGCGGTTTGTAGGGGGATTTGGCTTGGACGGTTTGAGAGGCTGGCTTGTTTGTTGTGGCAGCTGGCGCATGGTGATGGGGTGGCGCCGGGTCTCGGCCTGGCAAAAAGGAAGGAAAGGTGGGCGAGGCCGGAGCACGCATTTTTGCGTTGAGCGATGGGAATGACTCCGCGTGACATGCGTCGAAGGGATCTGGATTGACCGCTTCCCGGCCCTGGGCGCCGAGGCGAGTACTATGGCCGATGTGGCCAATGAGCGTCTGACAATACGATTGGCAATCTGCCCGGTTGCGAGAGCACCCAGAGCGCCCACACATTCCAGGGGGCAACGCTCACGTTTACAATGTCGTTAGGGGAAATATATGGTTTTGTACGTTGCTCATGTTTGATCATCACATATCAGTCATTGAAATCACCATCACCACCATCACCACTATGACCATCACGCCTTGTCACGCGTCTTTCTGCTCAGGTTTCACCGCTCCGTCTAGAACTCCACGCAAAGCAAGCCAGCCAGCTCGCAGGCCAGCAAGCCAGCAGCCGGCCAGCCAGCCCGCCAGCCAGGCAGCCAGCCAGGCAGGAGAGAAGGCAGGCAGGCAGGCAGGCAGCCGGCCAGCCAGCAATCAAGCGAGCGAGCAACCAGGCAAGCCGGCAAGACACCAAGCCGGCAAGCAAGCAAGCGAGCGAAACAAGCGCGCAAGCCGGCAAGCCAGCAAGCCAGCCAGCCAGCCAGGACGGAAGGAACAAAAGAACGAAGGAAGGAAGAAACGAAGGAAGGAAGGAAGGAAGGAAGGAAGGAAGGAAGGAAGGAAGGAAGGAAGGAAGGAAGGAAGGAAGGAAGGAAGGAAGGACGGAGGGAAGGAAGGAATCAAGGAATCAAGGAATCAAGGAGTCAAGGAATCAAACAAGCGATTGAGCAAGGTAGAAAGCAAGCGAGCGAGCGAGCGAGCGAGCGAGCGAGCAAACTTACAACCGGGAAAGCCGGCTAGCAGCCAAGCAGCCAAGCGGCCAAGCAACCAAGCAACCAAGCAGCCCAGCAGCCAAGCAGCGAAAGAGCCAAGCAAGAAAGTACCTAAGCAAGCAACCCACCACCCAACTAGCCGCTCTGAAACGAAACGACGCGCCCCGAATGGTCGTTGAATGGGCCGTGGCTGGCAGGCCCCTACCACGATCCCATGGTCCTCATGCCGACAACGTCATTGGCACCTGAGATGGACCCCGCCGAAATCTGGGAGAGGGCCCCCGACGCAGAGAGGCGAAAGTGGGTTGACCGCATGGAGGCTTTTTCAATCAAGTACTTTTTGGAGGCAGCCGTTTTGAGGGTAAGCTTCACTTGAATGGACCCAGTTTGGCCCAACCCTGAAACCGGCCAATTCCTCCTTCGGGGCCTTTGAAACACGCATGGTTGAGTTGACGCCCCTTCGAACTCGTGCCGTGCCTTTTTTGGGCCTAGCAACCTGTGAGTTGGATCACAGTGTCGGCTTTGCCAGGCTTCATGTTGGCCTCAAAAATTCGTGCTGTTTCTGGCTCGTCAACTCATGAACCGGGAAGCGACGGGGGAGTTTTAATGGGGGACCGTTTTGGTGGAGATTCAAATCGGGTGAGGGCTTAAGACTCACAGGAGCAAGCTCGCGATGCGGCACCTCAGATGCTGCCGCTCGGCCTGATGGATGCAAAAGCTTCAGAGTCTCTAATTTTTGTTTGGCAAGAATCACCACAGAACCCCACGCATCCATCACGTTCACAGGAAAGTCCTCTTTGAAATTAATCCATCCGTTTGGGTTTGGTTGCTGCCTACTTTGCAGGGGAGTATATGCTCCGTTTCAAGAGTATAAAGACGCCCTGGACCTGTTTGCCTCGTGCAAGGTTGGTCTCATTCTTTGGTGCTGTGCAAGGTGTAGACCCATTCCGAGGGCCCTTCAAACGTGTGGTTCGGGACCAATGGTGTTGACTCCAACAATTTTTTTTATTGTTTCAAGCGAAGGGGTGGGCAACCGGGCACCTGTATGTTGCGGGCATCCAAAGGTTTCTTCCAGTTTCGTGTGGTTATTGTAGTGGTGGGGGGGGGGGGTTGGAAACGTTTTTTCATGGGATCCTGGAACCACGGCCTTGAATGAGCCTCACTAAGCTCACATAAGGCTCACAGCTGGCTCTATGATGTTAAAAAAGCAAACTACAGGAGTTGATGTTAACGCCTGAAAGCGAAACTAGGTGCATCTGTGTGCTCAAACCGATTTTGAAGGATATGCTAAATGAGGCATGTTCGAACCCTTGGTGCAATGAGCATATCTAAGCTTATTCAATGGGAAGGCTACGTGAGGATGTTCAAGCTCCCTTTGAATGGACACCACGACACACATGTCAACACCTTTGTGAAGGGAAAACTAAATCCAAACCCTCGTTCAATGAGCATGCCGAAGCCTTTCTGAAAGGGAACTTGGAAAAGGAGGATGCCTCAATCAATTCGGTTGCATGTTTAAACGGGAATCACTCGGCCCGATCCTGCCTTCAAGTCGCTTTCTGCCGTTTTTCTTTGGGCATGTTTGACTCTCCTGGCACAAGAACCATGCCTTCTGCGTCATCGTATCTTGCATCTTCGCCCTTGACCCAAAAATGAGCACACATATCATCCAAGGTTTACGGCTTAATGTTGGCCAAGACTGGGTGGCCTCAGGGGACGGTAGGCTGCCGGTTTGGGGCATGTTTTGGTCGGTTACTCGCATTGACCGTTTGGTAAATGACGCTGTGAGTGCCACGGGAACCCCCTTTAGTGGGAAGGAAGTCACAGCAGTTGTCAATATTTCTCTGGGCACATTTCTGGGTTGTGAATCCTTATGCCACATGGTGGTGGTTTCCCTTGTGGTGGTGTCCCAGTAGGAATACGGAAACTCGACAAGGGATCCCTTGATCCCCATTTGGAGTAACTTTAGCCTTCTGCAAGCATGCCGCTTACCGACGAACATTTTGGCGGCTCGTGTGTTTTTAGGGCTCGGCTCTGTACCCTTTTTGGGATCGAGCCCGAGCCCCCCTGAAATGAGTTTGGACACCATCTACACTGCGGTCGTTCATTTTGGGACCATAAATAAACCAATCAGTTGTCCACTGGAACATCTCTTTTCTTTTTGTGGAGAGGCGGGCGGGGGCAGGACCAGTTTTGTTTTCTGACGTGAACACCGAATCAAACTTTTACCGGTGCTGAACATGGTACTGACCGCACACAGACGTTTATCAGTTATCAGCCCCTTCTTTTTCGGATGTGCCCCAAACATGGTTGGTTTTCTTTTGATTTCTTTGTGAACCACGCATATGGTGGGTACCCTCAACCAAAGAAACACATGAGGGACCGACCCTTCAAGCCATGTGATTTTCGTTTAGGGCGGCGCGCCTTTCCAAATTGGGGGGGGAAATGGCAGAGGTCAGCATTCCATGTTTTGAGTATATACCCAAAGTAGCCTTACACCCGTTAGTTGATTTCACAAGGGCTGGTCCCTGGGTTTAAGTTTAGGTGCACCTCAAATGGGGGAGTCATTTGTTGAGGGCCCGCTTTTGGTTGGTTTTAATAATTTGGAAACCAAAAGGACATCAACAATTTTTGGGGTCCCCTCTTTTGAGGAAACAACGAAATGGAACCCAGGGATTAGCTGTTCTAGATTCTCTTACTCTCGCACCGGCGTGGAGAGTTCTGTCGCTGCCCAGGCCAGGGCAAGATGGCGGCATGCAACTCGGCGCAATCGAGCGTGTTTTTGGATGCGTCCTTCCGTTTAACACCTCTGACTTCGCTTGTGTTTGCCTTTTTTTGTGTGTCCTCCCCGCACTGTACTCTGGACATGAGGGGGGTTCGAATGGAACCTAAGGACCTGAAAGGGATCGAGCAGATGCGCAAGGGAATGTGGGGAATCACTTGGGTAACGTCAACTTTGCATTCCGGGGACCACCAAGGGTTCGAGGCCTCCAGGGAATTCCATTTCGGGTTGGGATGAATGTTTGGCCCGGAATCCGAAGCGAGCAAGCCTTGGAAAGGTTCAGACGGGCTTGGGAGCGCCTGTCAAACCACTGCCTCGCTGGTCCAAAGCGCTTTGAATTGAGGCCTTTTCCCTCGGGATTGGTATGCACCCGGGCCTTATGACACGCAAGGTTTTTGGATCCTCAAAATGAAGACATCTGGACGAATCGGGGCTGTCCCATGTGAAATGTGAAGGGAGATTCTGATGGTGCCAATGGCTTTGTTTGAGGGGCTTTATAAATTCTTACTAGTAGCAAGTAGCATTCATTACCAGCCTTAGCTCACCTTGTTGCCCCTTTGCCTTGGTTTGCCTTCAGTTTCCTTTCAAGCCACAAACCGTCACTTCTCTGGCCAAGTTATTTGGAGCAGATGTCCTGTGAAGTCAACCACCCAAAATGGGTCACGTGTTAGAAAGGTCTTACATGTTTGCCTTCTACTCAAAGGATTGAAGTGGAACAGATTTGCGGGACCTTTGGGACTGAGCAATTCAACAGTCTAATTCTTGGCCATTCTTGGTCCGTTCGACTGAGATCAAGGCTATTGATTTGAAGGTCAAGGGAACGCTCAACATAGCGAAAAAGCGGCCGGCGTCAAATGAGGGGAGAGATGTTTTTTGCACCTCAGCCCTAACGATTTGGTTTGGTTTGCCGGTTTGCACCCATGGTTCTTGAGAACACCCTCCAAATCACCAATCCAAATCAACAGGGAAGCAGAACCCCTCACTTGTTTTGATGCTCAACTCAGAGCCCCCAGTTTCACTCGCACTGTGCCTTCTTGGCGTGCGAGAAAACGAAGAACGAACGAAACAGAAGCTGAACCACCGTGCTTTTGCACGACTTCCGCACTTGCTTGTGGGCAGCCTATTTTCTGGGCAGCAGGAGCTTTATCTTCGCTCGCCTTTTTCTTAGTGAATGGCCACGGTGGGCATAGAGACCGGTGAACACTGGGCTGGTCTTTCCGAGTCAAAGGCGCCGACATGTGCCGGCTTTCCATGGGTGTCGGTTCGGAGAGCCAATAGAATCAAGCTGGGGTGGGTGGGTGGGTGGGTGGGTGGGTGGGTGGGTGGGTGGGTGGGTGGGTGGGTGGGTGGGTGGGTGGGTGGGCGGGTGGGTAACGGGAAACCAGAGTCACTCGTTGTCCAGAAGTTGGATCGATTCGTTTGGCGCATTCAGGTCCATGAATTATGGTAAGTGCAGAGGGCCAAGGCCGCATAAATGACCACCGCCCTTTGTCAAGCTGTCTCAGCTTGATCCGCAAGTAAAGCTTGGGTTTAAGAGGGTGTCTGCTAAACCGCAGGAGAAAATGCGGTTTGTAGCCCGTGGTCAGCGGCTGTTTGTTACATACCTCCATGTTTTGTTTGTATTTTGCAGAGAGAGCCTTTCAGACGTCCTACTCAGATCAAGTACGCACTTCCTGAGTTCCGTTTCGGACTGTAGTCACTTTTTGGGTTTGGACCATTTTAGTTGTAAACCACAAGTGTCGACTGTTTTTGTCCAATCCACTCAGAAAGTGAGAGTTCGGCAAATGTGGAAAACCTTTTCGGGTTGCAACTGCACCAAAGGCTTCCTTTCATATATAGAGAAGCCCAGGGCTGCTGAGCAAGCCTCCTGCTTCAGGTGGATGAACACTTTGCCCAGACAGTTTTCGTGGTTTGCTTTTATTCGATGGGTCACCCAGAAGCATTGGTGGCTTCCCGGCTGCTACGCAAAGAGCTGAATGGGAGGCGACTCCAGAAATAGCCCCACGCAACCCATGGGGGACCTGAACAATCCGAAGGGTTGTGGGGCACTTTAAAACCAACGTAAGGCATGATGGGAAGAGAGTACACCGAATTGTGTGTCATTGTTCAGCGGGCTGGGTTGCGTAAACCAGACCTTTCGCCTAGGCACAGAGGACGACGGAACAGCAACTTGGCCTTGAGAGACGAGTGATGAGTGAAAATGATGTTGCTCTCTGACACCACCAAATGAATAGGCGACATGGATTCCTGCAGGATTCGTTTTGGATTGATTAGCTCCAGTCGTTGCCGTGTTTCGTGGAGGAGTTGAAGCATGTTTTATTTATTAGGATGACCCTTTCCTATGGGTACACCAGGGCGAGTTGGTGGTACATGGCACCTGTAACTGAATTTGGCCAAGGGGGATGACGAAACCAACATGCGTTGGAATTGCCCAACGGTTCCAATGGAATCGCCGGGAGGGTAATCGAAGTTCATCGGGTGATTTGCATCACCTTTCGGCTGCCTGCGGCGCCTTGGTGGGATCGGAGAATCCATAGAGCCATGGACATGTGGCTCCAAAATGCTGACACCCTCCAGTAGGTGGCTGCAACATGGCTCGAAGTGTGTACAGTACAACCTGCAACGCACAACCCCATGTTGACCCTACCTTTCAGGGGAACAAGAACATGGGTGGTCTGTAGAATGACCACTGTACCCCCGCGCACTCTAAGATGGATGGCTTCCAATGCAACCACTACCCCAAGGTAGAAAGAGGAGTATCGCCACTAGGATGAACTACAGAAAGAACTCTTTCCAGTGCTCCATCTAAAAGTTCAATCGCTTAGTTTTGGAGCCGTAGGCAAGTAGTAAGCAAATACTTCAGTTTTGTCTAACCCAATTTCCCATTAACGTGGCTTCTCCGTTTCCACCGTGCACCGCTTTCGCTCCGAGATTGGGAGACACAGCGCACTCTCTTCGTGAAGAACTCCTTCCTGCATGTTGAGGCAGGTTTTGGCGTTTGACTCCAAATCGAGGATTGGGAGAGAGCCATATCGAGACTTTCAGCGGAATTCGGAACGGGCTGGGCAACCAGCGTTTCTTTGGACGCCTTTCCAGCCTGAAGCGCCCGCCGTTTTCTAGGGTTTTCGGCTTCTGCGCTCGGTTTTCTCGGATGTGTTTGAAGGCTAAATGCACGAACCAGGATCTCCTTTGACACTACCTTGCACTTCAAGCTTCACTAACAGTGGACCAACATCAAGCATATCAAGTTTAGTTGGCGCGCGAAACGGAAAAGTTATTGTGTCAAGCCCGAGCCCTAAATGAGGTTCTCATTGGAGGGCCATTGAATCGGCAGAAGGGGTCAGGACACTGGGGAGCTGTGGTTTTCAGGGGTCCAACTGGGTGCGTGCTTTTCTTCCGTCTTACTTTGCTTAATGAAGGCCAAGGGAAAGGAAACAAGGGGGTCCCCTGTTTTAACGCACAGCCAGCCCGAGTCTTGTGTAGTGCCTTCTAAGCACCGTTGCTTTTTGGGGCTCGAAAGCGATCAGGTTCCTCTTACTTGGTGATGGTTTTGGGGATTCCGGCCCTTCAGCCATGCTTCTCTTCAGAAATATACACATTTCCCACCGGGGTTTTGGGCCATTTGTTCAAGAGAGGCACGCCAGAACCGAATTCGACTATCTTCGTCCACATAACCAGTGATGAATGCTGGCTTCCGGGGAGCCAGCCAGGGCCCCAAAACTGCCATGGCTTCTTGGACAGATATTCTCAGCCTGGGGTGCGGCTCTGGCAGGACAGCGACGACGATGAGGACGATGTGAATTGCGACGGCGTGGGGCTCAGGGCTTTCGGCTTGCCCGCCCTTTGGTCCTCGGCCCGAAGAAACAAATCTCCGCCCCCCGCAAGAGACCCAACCCGCCTTCGCTCCGAAGCTTGAAGCCATCCACCTGTCGCTGGAGAGGGTGCCACGGGTTTTCACAGTCGCAGCGATTTCCGGACAATGATTTCTTGCTTGCCCAAAAGCCAAAGAGTGAGCCTGCGTAAGTCGACACAGGGAAACTGGTCGGAAATGAGGGGATCCGTCTAGTTTTTCCTCAAGGAAGGTAGTCAAAAAGGAGAGCCTCTGTAGTTTCAGAATCAACTCTTGACGGCAGCAAATTAGGCTCCTGCATGCTTTCCTGCTCGTGCAGGCAAATGTGGGTGTACAGTTTCCAAATTTGACAACGTCATGCTCGTTCATGGGCGACGACGTCCTTAGCTGCTTCTGCTGCTGCTGCTGCTGCTGCTGCTGCTGCTGTTCAAAAGTTCAAGAGAACAAAGGTCGCCACACGGAAGGGTCCCAAGTGGGAGACTCAGCACATTTCGGTCTTTTGGGAAGGGCAAACGAGATCGTGCACGACTTGAAGGGGGCAAACCTTTGGGCGCGAACCTCAGGGTGGGGGCATGTTTACTTCCATGGAGCCTTGGCCCGAAGGATCAGAAGATAGCCCAAGACCCAAGAAGGCCTCCAAGTCCGACTCAAAAGGCATCGGACACCAACATTTTCACCGCTTGAGCCATTGCCAAACATCACAGGCCCCCTTCGTTTTCAAGTAACATGTCGTCCCTTCTGGACCCTCTTAAAATGGGACATGGTTCCATTCTGTTGGGGCAATATCCAATTTTCCAAGGTAGGGTGAAGGTCCAGGGCCCGCTCTTTTGAGGAACAGGTTCAGCAAAAGTGATTCGGTAGGTTCTGTTCCTTGGTGCACGCAGCCAATGCATGAAGCACGCCCTCTTTTTCCAAACGCCTTACACCGATTGGCCTTTCATCGGGATTAAACACCCCTGCTTCTTGTTGAGCCATCCCAACACCAAACTCAGAGGGAAGCTACACCGCAAGGCCATCATCGAACACCGGCCCGCTGCTGCTTCCAAACCTCACCTTTTGGTCGACAGAAAGTGAGTTTCCTCCGGGCTGTCCATCGGTGGGGTCTGAGTCTTCCATTAAGAACCTCAGGAGCGTCGTGGGATGTTCAAAGAGGAAGAGATCCAGTTTGAGTGGCTATGCTCTATACTCCTAGAACCACTACATGAAGTTTTAAAGTACCCACGCCCATCCCAACAAAGACTGCCCCAAAAAAAAACGAAACGGCCGCACGAGGCAACTCCTCCCACCGCTCCAGCTCGATGCCCAGCTCTATGGGCCGAGACTACGAGGACCGAGCGGAGACCCTTTGACTTTAGCCCATTTCACCAATTCGAAGCAGATGAAATTGTGGACATACACCTCCAGGGAAGTATGATGTCCAGGTGCGACTTTTGATCCGGAACACATCCTGGCGGATTTTCCAAAGGGCTTAAACAGGCAAGCGTGTCCTGCTTGGTAAGCTTGCACATCGGATTCCACTGGTCTCGGTTTGGCTCCAACGGCTTTTTCTTCTCCCCATTTCTCGTTTCAGGCGGATGTTCACAGCTGCGTGTTCCTCAGTTCCCCTTACACGGGTGGATGTCCTTTGCGACTTTCCCGAGTGCTTCTCAAGGACCCCCTTGTTGGTTTCCGGCGAATCGGGAGGACCGGCCTTGGAATCGCCTGCCCTCCGCGGACATGCTGGAGCCGACGCCTCGAGATGACCGTTGGGAAGTTTGGCCACCGGGTTAGACCAAACCATGACCAAACTATGCTCCCATTGGGTCTCCAATCCTGAAAAGTGTCAAGTAGTCTAGAGTAGAAGTATGGTTGAGGGAGTCAGGACATACTTTGTTTTCCTGTGTGCATCAAAGGTTGTCCGACGATGGCAGATGACCATGACCAAGGTGTCCAATCACCCAGGTTGGAATATTGGTTTCCCTTGAGTTCCCCTTTCAGGAGCCACTTTCCCGCCGGCCGCTGATGGATCCACCTCTTGAATGGGGGTTCCCCGAAAGTGATATGTCTGGGCCGACATGGGACCTCCGATCAGCTCAACTGAGTTCCTGATTTGTTTTTTGGCCCAGGTAGTGAGACCTGTTCCCATTCAGAGCGAGTGGTCAGAGGAATCGCGAGCACCCAAAAGGAACCCCTCGTTCTGGTAACCTGTTCCTCAGATTGATATTTGGTGGTTGGGATTGGGGGTTTTGGATTTAAAACCTATAAGCCTTGTTGAGGGTAAATGGGACATCACCCCACAAACAAGGGGAGGCTGAATTCCCAGATTTTCTCCTGACTTTCGGCAGACAAGATGGGCTCCCTGAAAACTTTGCCAGGCCGAAAGGTTCGAGCTTTGCCAGGTCACAGGTTTCTGATGTCCAATCCAGACCCCTTAAAAACCAGCCATTGAGCACCCCAAAAGGACTTAGGACTAATTGAGGGCCGAAGAATCCGCATTTTTCGCCTGGGATGTATTTCCTTGATCCATCAAGCCCTTGAATCCCATTGGCTGCTTTTTTGTGAGGTGGAGCTGGTTGAAGGAGGATTTCTAGGATCTGGGTTGATCTCGTTTTAGATTCTGAGGTTTGGACATGGGAATCTAATGTTCTGTGGTGGCAAGGGCAGAATTTATTTTCTGGGCGCTTTTGCTCTCTTTGTATCCCCTAACCCCGGGTTTCGAAGATTCTCTTGGTGGGCCACTGGTTTGGGTTGGGGCTAGCCAGTGGCCCGGTTCTGTTTTTTCTTCTACCTCTAGAATAAACGGATGGAGCCACTGGATGGAGAATGAGGTGGCCAAGGGAAATAGAATGAGATGACATAGGCAAGCATATTCTATCTCTTATTGCTTTCCATCTCATTCCCAATCTTCTATCTTTCCAGTCCTAAAGGCAAACCCCAAATGACAGACTGGGAAGGGAGTTTGAGATGGGAAGAGAAGGGAGCCATCTAACCCTTCCCACCGCCTACCTCAGAGTCCATCCAAAAGTCAATCCGCAAATCCTGGGTTTCGCGTAGCCTGCGGGAGGGTTCCGAATTCCGCGGTTTCGCCGGGACGAATGTGGGGAGTTGTTCACCCAATGTTTAAAAAACAAGCCGGAGAATAAAAACAAAAACAAAGAAACAGCAAACTAAAAACAACCAGGTAGCACGGACTTTTTGCGTTCCAAGACGAACGAGAAGGCAAGCACTTTCCAGCAACTTAGGCGCAAATGCCCCAACAAATCCCGCGTCAAGAATAGGGGACCCTCCGAAATGGGTGGTTTCTTGCTTGTTGCCCTTGAAAACAATCCCTCCAAAAGGCTTCCTAAAAGCGAAACACCCGCCCAGCATCCGTGGAGCAAAATGTGATTCACATGCCAGCTGGCGATGTTTTCGGGGGTCAACAGCTTGCCGTCAGCTAGTTTCTTGTGAATTTTGGGAAGTGACCTAGGGGCCCCTGCAAAAAGAAACCACCGGTTGGTTGGTCCAGTTCGGGGTTCCAAGCAAGCAGACCCGACTCAGTTCAAGAGAAACAGAAAGAAAATTGTTCCTGTTCCCAAGAGGGGCGGGGTAATCTGCTGGTCGAAAAATGCAGGGATCCCAATTGGGCCCTCTACCAGATCAGGCCCTCGAGTGCAAAGAACATTGTTCAAACAATTGTAGTTGTTGGTTTAGACCATGGTTACTGGGAACCGGAATGATTGACCCCTGGTTTTGATCGGGGTGTGTCCCCTTTTTGCCGGGGGGGCTGTCACTTGAGGGGTACATTGAATAGGACGGCGTCTGAATCGCCTGCCCGTCACCGCTTCGCTCGCCGTCGAGGCTGCTCTACTCCATGCGCAACAAGGCCGCTACCCCCGCGGAAGCGGCCCAAACCGGCTGGGGACTCGTGACTCGCGGACCAGAGAGCAGTGGGGTCTCCTGGAACATCATGGGACCTGGAACCATATGGAACTCTTTAATTGGATGTAATTTCTCTTTGATGTCCAAAAGGGTATCCACCGAAATAGGCGCAGCAATACGATGGGAGGTTGACCAGAAAAAGGGTAGAAACAAAGGTGGACACACGCAGAAGATGTGCGATAGACGTATGCTGAGACTTGATATAGGCAGGTCATGGCCCTTAAGACCATCACAATTGAAAGGCAAAGGGCGCTTTTGTTTTGGGCATTGCTTCAGAGCGGGCAAATTCCGAATTTTCCCTCGAAAGGACGTAGGAGAATTATCTTGAACCCTTGGATGTTGCGGGGCCAGGGAAGTTTCGCTTGGTCCCCTGCCTGTCCCCCAAACCAACCGCAGACTACCATAGATACTGTCAGTGATTGATGCAACCCCGCAAGGGAAAACACTGTGACTGCTCTTGTGGATCGGCATGAAGCAAATGAATACTGCCTTGCCACATCTCTCCATTCGGCCATTGAAGAAGCGCGAGTTTGGGGAAATCATTTCACCAGCGGTTGAAACCGGATTCGGGGGAAACAGCGCTCACACATGAAAGTCCTTTGCTGGGTTTTCCTGAGTTCCAAAATGGACATTTCCATCATTTGTCCAGATCTGGGAGGGGGGGAGACTGTGTGTGAAGATGTGGGACTTCGAAAGCGCAACCAGGGGGATGCTTTCCCCTTCCTCCTCTAGCCAGTCCCTGCTTGAACCAGTCCCTGCTTGATGCTTTTGGGGTTAGGGAATGATCCAACTTGTTTGGAGCGTTTTCAAGGTTGCCCAACACGGGGTATGTTTTGCGCGTTCCATCTTAAAACACATTTATGTCAAGATAGCGGGGACCGCGAAGCATGATTGGTTTCTTTGGGTGTCTCTTTGGAGCACCTCCAGAACTGACATACAAACATGGTTTAGTCTAGCTTAGCTAGACTCGGGGTCGCCGCAATCAAGCACTCAAAGGCTGAATGTGTCAAGACGCATGGCGCCTTGGCATGGCTTGGGAGCCCAGCCGCGCAACGAAAATTGGCCTCGGCCGAACTGGGCTGCCTGAAGCTATGGCTTGGTCTCAGGGGGGACCCTTTGATGATTTGCATGTTCAGGTGTACTCAGACTCTGCAGAGTCTGAACATGGCCCAAGTTTTTGCTGTTCCGAGTTCGGCTGAGGTGTTCGGTCATGTCTTGGTGGGGATTTTGTTTGGGGGACTTTTAGCTAAAGCACCCCAGCGAAACTCGAAGGTTGAAGCGATGGGACGCAGTCCCCTGACCCATCACTGGAACTGCCCTTTCAAAGAGCCTTACGAAGGCTAGGCTTAGCAAGTCCAGGGGTGGTTCCAGGGGTGAGGGGTTAGGGCACCAACTAGGGTTCTATAAGATGCATTCCCACCCCCACCTCAAGCTAAAATCTGGAAGTGGGTTTGTTGTGCCAGGCCCACTTCTCCGTCGTATTTCTTCCAACCAGACATCCTTTCTGGCTGGCGGAAACGGGGTTTAAATTGAAGCCGACGCTTTCCCAGTCCACCAACCACTGGCCCCTATAAATCATCCCTATGAATCATCCACTTACATTGTCATACAATAGTTCCCTTTCAAGGGCTCCATTGATCCCTTCCCAACTCTGTTGATTCCCTGAACCAGGAAGAGAATAGTAACTCGGATCTGATTCAATGGATATCGGTTTTGGCGGCCTGGTTTGGGACCCGTTTGTGCCATACAAAATTCGCTTTCGGGATCCTGGCTTGGAACAGCAAAGCAACGTGTTTCACAAGAAATCCCCGAACGGGCCAAGCGGTTTTTTCTTGCTTTGACCAACCTGAAAAATGGCGCCGCGCCTCAAAACAAACATCGCAGTTGGCACATCGCAATCCATAGCTGAGGCCCTGCGGTATGCGCTGGCTAAGCGCCAAAGGCAGGGTGGGTCGGAAGGATGTGATTCGGCCCGATCGCTCGGTTGGACTGGGGTCGACTGGGCTTGAGCTTGAGTGGGGGGTTTGACTGGGGTGAAGGGGGTTAACTGCGGGTTAGAACCACTTTCACAACTCCCGGACCATCTAAGGAAGACTTAAGTGGAATCCGAAGTTGATCTACCTGGAGGAGCAAAAACGGATACACATTTGGGCTTTTCCCAACAAATCCTTGTGTTGTGGAACCATATTTTGAGACTTTGCCGTGGAAACAAATCCTTTTGGATCTTTTCTCCCAAGCCATTCTGTGGAAGGACACACTCCTGTGCCAATTGCTTGATGGTCTATCCCAATGTTTTGCCAGAGTGCATCGAATGGTCGAGTGGATCTCTTCACGCTTTGTCATTGGAGCGCCCAAACTTTGCAAGTTACACAGAATCACAGGCACACACAGGCAACCGCAAACAAAAACCCCTAAGTAGAACACAAAAGCCCTGAAATATGACTTCTGAGAAAGGAGCCCAAAATACGGCGTTTGTTCACTCAACTACATCTGCAGTTCTTCACAACTCCAAGCCCGGCCTTTGCACTCAACACAGCTCTAAATTCTTTCACCGACTGACCCCTTCGTATTTGCTCTTTCGGGGTGATTTGATCTGACCTTTCCGCTTCTGGGATTGTTTTGAACAGCAACTAAAGGGAAACATACAAGACAGACCCATAGGTGTTCTTTCCATGAAGGCTGTGTTGATCTGACCTTTGGATTCTTGGTTCATGCTGGGTATTCCAGGGTTTAGGCAGACCCTGGTCGATGTAGAGGGGGAGTCCCATTTTGGAGCGGAACCTTCACTTCTTCCTCTGGGGAGGGACCCCTACTATTTCGCCAGAGTCATTCATCTTGAAAGCTCACGTTGGTCCCCCATCCGCGTGGGGCTTCTGGATCAATGTCAAGCCAATCCAAGGTGCATTGTACTTTCGACGGAACTCACCGTTTTGAACCGCCTCAGCATACCACTGGCTGGCATCATGTGACTTTCAGATGAGCTGGACCAACAGACCAACCGAGTGAGAGAAAAGTGGGTGGACCAATCAGGCCTCGAGGAATTGGGTTCCTCCAAGGGCGTCGTGACCCGGCGCCTGTGATCTGTTTGACGGTTGACTCGGTTCCTGGATTCGATTCGATGGATTTCCGGCCTCATTTGTCTTTTGGCAGCCCAGGTCCGTACGAATCCCGGTCAGGATTTGTGTGTTCCAGTGTTCCCAGTCCCCCATCAACTGTGTCCCCTTTTGGCCTCCAGTGGCTTCGGACGCTTGAGATTTGTAGCCAATGGGCAGTCGTTCCTGAGAGGTCCAAATGCCCCGGTGATCACCGAGCACACTGGGAGCCCCCGGATAAAAGCCACCCGAATCGCTCGAATCAGGGGGTGTCGGGCCATTCCCTCAAAAAGCTCCGATCAAAATCACCCAGAGGCTTAGAAAAGCCCTGGGTTATCATTACTCAGGACTCCTCGGCTTCGTACGGAGACAACACAAATCGGGCTTTTGGGTCCTTCACATTTTCAGCATGAGCCGACATCCATCGCATCGGATTAGGGTGATATGAGTGAATCTCCCGCAACTGGAACCCCTGGTTGGTATTTGGATGAATTGGAAGCTAATTCACAGGAGTTATTACGTTTGTCAATGTCAACTTCTGGTACCCTCTTCAAACAGGGATGGGACCTTGTTTTGCAGCGTCTGTTTATGTTTGGCCCCGAAAAGGTGATCAGCTTCCTTTTTCCAGACCTCTTACAACCAAAGCAGCTTGGAATAGCCTTTTAGCCTTTCGACCAACGACTATTTCCCCACGAACCAAGCATTTAGCTTTTCGCAGGTCTTAAGACGAAGAACATGTCATCATGTGATCATGAGGGTTTCAACTGGTTTTGGGATCCTCAAGAATTGTTGTGCTGAGGCCCCCTTTGAGGGCTTCGGGCTCTTCAGTAGCCCTGCAAGTTTCTTTTTTTGGGGGGCTATTTCGTTGGGTCCAAACAATTCGGATGAGGTTGTGTGTACTTAAAAACCAAGCTCAGTCTGAGGTATTTGCAACTCAGCCCCGTTTGTGTTGCAAGGGGCAGAATGGTTTCCCAATGACGCAATTTGGTCTTACGGTACCCCCCACCCCCCTCATTCGGAACCGTGACCCATCCGGTTGCGAAGCGTACGCCAGGACTCCGTGGGTCAAGTCCATCTGACTAGAGTCTTAGTTGCCCGGCGACCCGTTTCACCCGAACTTGGGGTTGGGTCGCAAGACTTTTCCAGTTTCCATGTGGACAAAAGTCACTAGAAACGCACTTGGAAAACGTGGTTTGGCCCAGTCCCATCCCTGGTGGATTGAGTCGACGGCCGTGAAGAAGCCAACCGACCCCGAAAAAGATCACATTTTCTTGGTCGAAGCCGACCCCGAAAAAAATCACATTTTCTTAGTCGAAGCAAACCCACAGATGTGAACGGCCTTTTGCCGACTATTTCTAACTCAGTTGTGCCACTTTAACCACTGTGACTCTGAACATGGCGAAATCACGAGGTTTCAGGTTTTATGATTTGTTTCCTTAAGAGAGTTATGTACCTCTAAAGGGGGAACCTCAAATGGAACCCCAAATAGGCATGGGACCTAAACATGCGCTTGGGGAACTCTTACATCAGATTGCTTCCTTTTCGGAAGGAACCGATCTGGGTCGATTCCTATGGTATGTTGGGTTTTATGGGAGCATCAAACAATTGAGGGCCTTCTAATCGCCCAAGAGGTTCGCTGCTGTTTCAAGAGGGTACCAAAGCAAGGTGACTTTGCCTGCTGTTTTATGAGTGTCCCCTTGGTGAATTGGATTTGGCAGCAGTATCCAGTGGCTCAATCCGAGACCAATCCACCAACTCAAGGTGACCTGCTTTTATGACATGCAGGTGCTTTGGGCAAGTGAGGAATCGCTCACTGTACTGCCTTAGTTGGCCTTTTGTGAGCAATGATGTGAACAGTCTCCCAAGAACTGGCGCGGTGTGTGCGTGTTTTTTCCAACGCGTTTTTGTTGCTCGGACAGTGCGAGCAAGACTGGGCGTTCGCGACCAGAAGCAGTGGGGTGGTTTGGGCTGGTTTTGGGGGAGATGGAAGGGCAATCCTAGGTTCGGCCAGGTTCCGGATGCTTGAGCTTCTGAAATTTTCTCCAAGGAGCGAAACCCCGAAGATGACGATGTTTGAAGGATGGGAATCCTCCGGCAGTAAGGCGCTTTGCGTGTGAACGAGACACGCGCTTGTTTTTTCAGACATGGAGTGTTGGCGAAGAGTTGTGCTCTCTACACGGAGTGCCTGCTGAAATGGCTATGACTGTGAATGGGGAACCACCTCAAAAGTGGTGGACGTGATTCCCCACCCAGTTGATGTCCACCTGTCCCTGATTACAAATGCAGGCCCAATTTGCTTTTCTCGGCAAGGACAAGTTCACGACTGGCTTTGTGTTGGGGTACCAATGATACCCCTGTGCCCCATTTGTAGGTCGGATTCGCCAGTTTAAAAGGAATATGCTGGGGGGAGGGGAGGAGCTGTAGAATATACTTCTACACATGCCAATGTAGGATATCTCTTGGTTGTAAACCGATGCCCTCCAGAAATGGGCTTCTCAAAGCCGAACGCCTCTTGGATAGTGTTAGGGAAACCGCCAGGACACCAAGAACCTGGGTGCATGATCGCCCCTAGCATGCAATAAACATACCAAACGACTCAAACAAACAAACACAAAGCCAACCAACACAGAACACAAACGAACAACAACACACAAACACACAAAGAAACATGCACAAGTCTCGAACAGGCTGTTTGGATTCGACACGCCGCGTCGGGCGAGTTATGCACCGCCTCCTAGTGCACTGGCAAGTGCCGTTCGCCTAAACGGCGTTATTGGACGCGTGCGGCGTCCAATGGTGTTCCATGTGCCTGTGCCAACGCCCGGACGGAGGGTGGGCCCTAGGCGCCGTGAAGCACACAAGAATCAGACGCCCAAGGGGCACCTCTTTTGGTGGAGCCCAAGTAATCAGAAAAGGCACCCTTTTTCTCATGGCCATTGGGGGTCTAATACAAAACATGTTTTAGGTGCCCCTCGAAATCCGGTACTGAGAATTGCGAGAATCCTGGGTTGCTTTCCTGTAATCAGGGGCTGGGCCCTTGGAAGTTAAAGATGTATCAGAGGCAGAATAACTGTCCGCCAGTTTTATGGCGAGCTCACCTGGCGCCGCTAAACCGAGCTAACCTTGATGTAGGTCTTGTACTGGGGATCCCTTGTTTCAGCTTTTGGGACTATGACAAAGCCTTTGTTTTTTGCAAATAGGTCTGCCAACATGTTGGGTTGACGGGGGGGGGGGGGTTTGCCCGGACTTTTATGCTGCCCCGCGCATGCCGATCCTCAGCGTGTTCGTGGCTGTTGAGCAGGGGGGTGGAGGGAACGGGGGGCGGGATGGAAAGAACACGGGTTCATGTTTCCAGCATGTCAAGGCCAACCTTTGTTTCAACCTAGTCGATCCCAACCCCCCAACCCCACGCGCCATGTGACTTCTCCGCTATCTGCGCGCTCTACGCGACTGCGCAGTTGCATTGGCTTATCTGACACGCTGCCACTTTTCCGCAGGTGGTTTAGACACCTGGTGTCTAAGAAGGCTTGGGGTCTTCTTGCGTTTGAAGGAGCTACGCTCCCGAATGCTGGTCTTTGTCTCCGATGCGCTCTCAGTACCGAGCAGGAACGGAAGTTCTGCCAGCAAGTTATCAGCGCAGCTCATGACTTGTCTGTTTCGCATATACAAGGCAGCCCGGCCTGGACAGCTCATGAAACTGTTGGTGGCATGGTCTCTCACTAAGAGAATCAAGCCACAGTCCTGGAGCCTGCTGCCAGCAAATGAGAATGCTGCGCCTGCCAGCAGCGCGTATTCGAATCTGAGATTCGAATACGCGAAGTTGGACATGTGCAGACTTGCCTGTGATCCCACCGAACTGCTATTCGCATAGGATTTGCGCAATTCCCAACCCATGTCCCAGAGAGTCGGTCCGGGCAAACCCCCCCCAGCAACCCAACATGTTGCTTCTATCCTGACCCAGCATGGTGTTGCCTGAGTTGCCGCCTCGAGGCATGATGGCGGACATGGGCATGACCAGCCCTTTTTGGCAAGATAGCCAGGCCCACCTGTACAACCCAACTGAATCATCACGCCCGCGTAGGCGGTTGTCCAAAGGCCAGGGTAACAAGTTGGACCCAGGGTCTGATGGATATGGGCTCACTTGCTTGAACATTTCAGGTTTTCTTCCAGAAAGCCACCCAAAAGGGTTCTCAAAAACAACGGTGGTTGAACAGAATGGGCAACACCTAGGCTCATTTTGATCATTTTGGGGTTCATTTTGAGAGATCACTGAATCTGCCTTTTGCGACCTATGTAAAGATAGACACCGTATGTCCTCTTCTCAATGTGCGCAAGACTCGGCGCTTGCCAGCTGCAGCGATTGTGGGGTTTCCGAAATATCCACCAAAAGTTTTACTTTTCAATCCCAATGCACCAAAAAGAATAAAAACGCAAGTCAATGGATCATTAAAGGAGATCCTTTCCTCGTTAAAGCATTGACCCATAGACTTTTGACAGCTCCTTTCGCCGCGGTTTCAGATCGCGAGCCTCGAAAACGTCCGGGCTGGCAAGGCGGCGTTAGACACGCTCCAAAACCCGTGTCTCAAAATGATACATTTGGTGTCGGCGCATCATACAAGTTCTACTCTGGCGTTCAGGGGGGCCCTTTCTTGCTTTCAGGGTGAAAAGATTCCGGGCCCAGACTAGGAGCGACATGTTAGAATAGACGGGTCTAAATAATTTGCATGGTTCTCCCTTGAGGCAACGTGGCTCAACTGTACCTTCCCTGAGTTCCTGTTTGGATTTGTTTAGGGAAGACCATTCCGAACAAGGGACCCAGAAGATTGCGGGTTTGCTTTGGTTTCTATATAAAGCGACCTCAAAATAACATCTTAGTGGCAAACAACAAGCCTTCTTACTCTTGTTTGGCCAATCCGCGAGAAGTGAAGCATGCCCCACCCGAGTCCACGTTTTGATCGGTGAGACACGCGTTTGCGTCCTCGGACCCTGTGGCCAAGTTGTGATCCCCGCCCCCATAGGGCAAGGCTTCCGCCATGCGTTTTCCAACTTAGTGATATCAGGTCAAACTTGGGCCCCATGTTGTCAAGTCGGGGCGGGGATTTGGTGAACTGTTTGAATCCGGAGAGCTATTGCGGGAGTGGGCTGACTCGCTGACCCTTGGGACAGGCTGTTATGGTGGAGAGCCGCACTGGCTTAAAACTTTTTGATCCTGACCCAATTTAGGTTTTAAGTGCACAACCTTACTTGAATCATCAAAGCCCTTGGCACTTTGCGGACCCCCATGCTTTTTTCCGAGGGGCTCGGCTCAGGCATCCACATGTGTGGCTCGTAGTGGCCCGGCAAGTCCAAGGGTGCAAAACTTGAACTGGCTGGTTTATGGGGACGAGTAAATGAGCAGGAATTGGTGATCGCTGTTGCCACAGAATGCGCAAACGAGCAAACGGGAGGTTTCAGCGGTTTCAGCAGTTGGGGCTCAAACGGCCTGGACAGCCCAGGGGTTGAGGCGTCAGGGGGCAGGGTCGATCTGAAATTTCGCCCGCTCGTCAACCTGCTATTCCTCAGGCTCTTCTGTTGCCCAGTGGGTCGCTCCTGCCAGGGGTTTCTTCAGAGGTGCTCTCCTGCGACATGTACTTGCATCTTCAGTCGCTTGCGGTACCTTGCTATGGCTCACGGGTGGCTGCGCCGCGGCGCCAGGTGTGGATTTTCATTTGGATGGCACCTCAGCTTCTGGATGATGCCCTTCTTCGGCTAGACCGCTTCTTTGCATGAAATTCCCGGGCCCAGTCTGGTTATGTTTGATGGATGAGTTTTGGTGGTTTTGCGCTGCGAGCATATTCCTTGGCGATGCGCGATGTGGTGGGTGCCCACGCGGGTGTTCTGTCGGTGCCGCTTTCCTGGCCACAATTTGCACTTGCTGCAAGTTCTGCGGGAGTATTCTCTGCTTTCCTATCGGTACCAGAGCTCGGTGGTCGCTCCTTTCACCTCTCGGCCTGTATCGTCCAGCGCAACGTTGCAACATCGCTTTTCACGGAAAGAGCAAGCGGGAGGTCTCCCTTTCCTATGGGACTATGGTTTTTCGACGGTTTGCTTCAGGCAGCACGTTCTCGAGTTCCTCTCGTTTATCCGTCCTGGAACGTGCCACACTGCGCTGTTCAGCTTGTGACTGGAGCCGCGGTGAAGATAATCGTCCGTGACTCTTTCCCAAACTGGCCTTCGGCTGTGTCTCTTGGTGAAAGGTTACTCACATTCTCTTGGCTGCTCCTCGGCCAGCCCTTTCCGGACTGGTCCGCTTGCTCTCTATTTGTATCGTCCAGAGAAACTTTACAGAATCGCGACATGGCAAGGAGCAAACGGGAGGTTTCCATGCGCCAGCCGGGCTAAGGGAAGACTACAGTAGACTAGGTATTTGGGGTGGTGTGTTTGGGGGCTGGTAGTGTTACACAAGTTGTGAGCAGGGACTTGGGGTAACAGAGGGAGGTTTGCCAAACCGTTGGGTGATGAAAGGCTTCCGGATTCCGCTTTCCCAATTTGTGAGTGGGATGCCCAGACTTTTGGCAAAACTTATGTCAGAGCAAAGAATTGCGCTACGCATAGACCCCTTGTCATTTGAGGGCAAACTGGTCCCTATTGTCAGCGTTGATTAGACGATATGTTTTAGCCATTTTGGATCAAGTGGCTATGTGAGGCACAATAGGTCCCAATATGTCCCTTGAGGGGGCGAACTCCGATTTTGACCACAAAATCGGGGGATGAACTCTAAATGAGACTCTCGGGGGAACATATATTTTGACCAGCTTTCATATGTGAACTTCGCCAGAGGACCATGCTAATTGATCCGAATTCCTCCAACGACTTCGAGTTCCTGGGGGGGTTGCTCCTGAAAGATTCCTCTTGGATTTCGAAGTTGGCAGTACTGGGTCACATCGAGATGTTACATCTTTGCCAGGTACCCTAAAGAGACATGCCCAGACGGTGCCTGTTCAACCTTTTTGTTGCCCAATCGCCTGGATGTGAACACCAGTTTTCCATGATTCCTGCTTTTTTTTGACCCCCAAACCTTGACTTTTGTTACAACCCTTGCTCAATGATATTTATCCATATAGTTGAACCATCAAAATGGAATTTCTGCGACCGTCGCGGATGCCAGCTGAGCCCCCTGCGCCAAGATCATTTGCGCCCGGCTGTATCCAGTTGACAAACTTCCACCTCGAGTTGCCCTGCCTCCTTGGATTCGCATATATGCTCTCTAGTCAAGCTCGGTATTTCCCCCGTTGGTTTGAGCTATCACCTTTGAGTTCCCTTTCGAAGGGGTTTGCAATCATAGGTTCCACAAATCCTGACGTTGATTTTTTTGGGGAAATCGAGATGTCAAAGCGTCAGCCCAAGTACGGGACTTCACATCGCAAGGTCAGGTTGAATTGACACATGTCGATGGGGGAAGTCGAGATGGAATGGTGAGAGTTCGACTTTCTGCCGCGGCAATTATCTCCGACTGGTCTGCGAGCGGCCGCGAAACTCCAAGACTCCACAAGTTGTTTGGACTACGGGGAGGCAACACAAAAGCAGATTGTGCAGGTTCCACGTTTTCCGCCCCTCTTGGAAATATGAGGTTTGCCGCCTTGGGGCTTCAAGGCGAACTCGCAAACAACAGGTTTATTTCTTGGCGTAGGTACGTGCGAGCTCAACCATCCAGGTGGGGAACTGCTCCCATTTGAGCAGATGTTTCAACTGAGTTTCCTGGCAGAGGTTCTTTTGGTCCATTGAGCACAGCTCGAATCTGCACAAGAAGGCGAATGGGAACACGTCCATGGGATGGTTCCTTTCACGAAACCCTTGGAAGCTCGTCTTCCTAGCTAGGAAGATGAAGCCTCCTTTTGGGTGGAACAGGGGTCTCTATATTTCCCCTCAAAGGGCGGCTTTAAACGTCACCGTTCTGGAGGGAGTTCGCTTGGCAGGGTGTTTAATAGACGGAACGCTGTAGACAATGGGTCAAGGGTCTCTTTCCTTTGGTTTCCTTTTATATCCTTTAGTTTCCTTTGGTTTCCCATCAAGCCAGTTCCACTACCAAGTATTTGCTCAAGGAGCAGACTTCCTTACTCGTTTGGGTTCAGGATCAACCAAACGGGGGGAACTCTAAGCTAAGGCACCCGTTTGGGGGGAACAGCCTTCTTTGGCGTTGAATCCAGAAACGAGCTGATTCCACACGTGACATTTGTTGGTATTTGGTCAGTTTCTGCAAGACGGGCTCTCCTTGGTGATTCGTCGGGGGGCTTCAGTTTCAAACTTGGGAGTTGAGCCAAAGACTTGGGAGGTCCACTTTCGACTCATCGACTCATTGTCGGACATTGAAAAGGAGTGCCACTTGTGACACCAAGCCAATCCAATCGCTTCACACTGAAGTATTTGCACTTACCTGTTGGCAAGCTCTTCGACTTGGCAGCTTCGGGCCGATCTAACGGTAAGCTGCGAATCTCGACCCAAAGCCACAGCGCCGTCGAACTTGGTGACAAGGGTGCCTTTTTTTGGGGAACACCCTAGCCGCAGCAACTGACAAGACTGGTCTATTGTCAGTTTGGGAGGGTATGGGGCAACCACCCTTCAGGGCTTGCCGGGGTACCTTTTGCAAAGGGCACCCTTGTCACCAACGTCAAAAGACTACAAAGACTGACCTTGCACCCCCCGAGGGCGAGCAAGAGTGCGAGGGAAAAGGTTCAGGGACTTGTCTGCGGCCCAGGTCGGACGTGATTCAACTACCCAAGACGGCGAAACAAGCTTGTTGTGAACTCGGTGGTAAATGGCCCGTGATTCCCAAAAGGCACACAGGACACAGGGACAGGTACGTTTCATTTTCCAGACCCTTTCTTTGACGCGCGCTATTGTTTCAACAAACCTCCATGGTGAAACTGTGAACAGTTTTCGTCACCTGGAAGGCTTCCCACCAATACTCAACAGTGGAGCGACTAAGGCCCCTGTTTTTGAGGCTAATAGGGTTCGGGTCATCTTTTTCAGATTTTGTTTTTCGTCTTTGTTTTGCCCCGGGTTTTTGTTCCTCCATTGTGTTTTATTTGTTTGCGAGTTTTCGTGGCCTTTGGGGGGTTTTGTGGCTTTGGCTTTACCAGCGCCCCCCAACATCAGAAGCACCTTGTTTGTAATCGTGCACTTTCTCCATTAGTGGTTTTCCAATGGGGGGCTTTCCCCAAAATTCACGTTTCGGACCCTAAACCCACTCTAAACCAGCCCTAAACCAACACTCAACCCACCCCCAAACTTGCCCTAAACAAGCCTTCATTCCACCTGGCACTAGCCTGAAGCCAACCTTGAACCTACCCTCAAAGCCAAATGGCAATGGTTAGCATGTTGAAATGTGATGCCTGGAGGGTTGACACTGGTGCAAAATGAGTGTATTTTGCTTGAACATGCTGCAATTTGCAAAACATTTTAGCACCGGTAGTGAACACACAAAAATCTGATAGAAGTCACGAACCCGAATGCATATTCCTTGCCAAAAAGGGCATCCATTCGCATGGGAAATATTTGAAAGTAAGCTGGGTGAATACTTTGAGGCTAGTGAACGTCAATGTGTGCTTGGCAAAAGCAATCTATCATATGCTTGCGAACGTTTGCGAACGCTTGCTTCACAACGGGAACCCTTCGCTACACATTCGGGATCAGCATGCTTGAATTACATCTCGACCTTAGGGTTCCTTTTGGGTGGTTGAAACAGAGGAGTCCGTCTATCTTTCTTCCGGGTCTTGTATTTTTGGTGCATGAAGCTTCATGGAGGGGTAGCCTGGTTGCAGGGTCAAAGGGTGAGTTTTGAAAGATCATACACAACGAATTTGATGAAGGGGGTGGTCCAAGAGTTTGAGGATATGCAGGAGAATTTGAATCAAATTTATGATGATCCTTCTGAAGGCATTGTATCAAGTTTTGCGTCAGCTGAGGAATGCAACACTTATTCAAACAGATTGGGGGTGATAGTTGTTCATAGATCTTTTCACGATACTTGTTTTCACCAAAAGACATGGCGCTCAGGAAATGAGTTGGAATGATCCCAAATGGAATCGTCCAACTGGTGGCCTCCTTCCATCCAGCCCATAGAATACTTTCCCAACGGGGTTCGAACCCGTGCAAGTTGTCGCCTCGCGTCGTTTTTGAGGGTAATGTCCACCTATGATGAGTAGTGGTCCCTTAAGCACAGCAAAGTGTTTTTCGAGAACAAATAATGAAACGGGGCCTGCAATGGCCTGCGTATTTATAAAGGAGTTGTGGGGTAGCATGAAACCATACGTGGGCCCGCAATTAGTCACAAGTATATCCACTCTCTGAGTTCCTGAACTTGTTGGGAAGTTTGTTTTAGTGGCAAACAAAAAAGCTGAGGCTTTTTTGGGCCAGTATAAGTATAAGAAGCTCGTGTGGGCAATTATTCAGACCCTGACTCCTGTGACGACGCCGTTCTTCTCCTCGCTGAGGCAATGTGTTGAAGCCGTAAGCTGAAGCGGCAACCCGAAGCAGCTTCCGGAGCGCATGTTCCTCGGCAGAGGGGTTCCCCTGAGAGCATCTTAGTTTGCTGCTGGGCTGTTCTCCCACCAAGCATCAGAATGCCGAGGGAGGTGTTGGTTTAAGACTGGCTCCTCGGAGCCACTTGGAAACATTGGCATGTATCTAAGAGGAAGCCACTACCACTTTGCGTGGAAGCCAGTATTCGTCCACCACTCACTTTCCGAATGTCCGAATTCGAAAAAACTAAGCCATTGGCAAACAAGTTGTTGGTTGCCGCTTTCTTAAGTGTCTCGGCGGAACTGGTGAGTGGAATCACCTCAGTGTGCAAAGGCTTGACCATGTCGTGCCGGGATAGGTACTCGTGGTATCCACCGGGATATGTAAACATATGTATACAGTACACAGATGTATACATATGTATACATAGGTATACATATATATCAAGGTCAAACCACCCCTTTGACCCCGATTCTCCATTCCCATGTATTGAAAGGCATGTTGGCAGAAATACTCTTGATTGCATCTATTGTTGTACACCTGTTATATGGCTCTTATGTATGTAGGCTGCTCCATAGGAGCAGTGACGCAGGAACGGCCCCAGAGGGGATGCCTGGTAGGATTTGACAAGTGGGTAAACGCCTAAATCGGTATGATCATGAGTAAATGTAAACAACTACTAGTTCGCCGGAATGGTATTCTATAGGGAAAAACAATCTTTCAAATCTGCTCAGGACCCAGTAAGTTAGCTCGGGTTTGCCAACTTCCGCCTTCCTGGGCTACGTGGGGTCCAACCCATTCGGCGACGTGAAACGTGTAACACCACACAAATTGATTGGTGACCACGAACCCTCATATAAATGTCCGGCTAAAACCTCTCATGTGAATAATTAGTCGTCACCCTCATTTTTTGTTGGGGACATTAATCCCTATGTTCAATAGAGTCCACTGCAGGAACTTGACATGGAGTAGCCTCAAGCTGCTTTTGAGTTTTACCGAAGGGGAACCAGTAAGGTATTGATGATCTGGACAATTCTTGGGATTGACTTGTTGTTTTCCCAGCGTGAATTGGCACAGACTGAAGAGGCTGCTCAAATCTTGGTGAGGCGACACTTGGGACCCCTTGGCTCGTGGCCGGTGTGCAATCAGGTCCTGACGCGGTGTCGGGAGATAACACAGACATTGGGCCGTTCTCGAAGCTGGGTTTGCTGAAGTGACGCTTGGGCTATGTTGAGCTCACGTTGCGACTACTGTAGCTCCTCGCTACCGCAGAGAGTCTCTGGTTGGGCAGCGCCAAAGTCGCATGGCCGGCCGGTGCGAGCCCTTGGTCGTGGCTTCACTTAGCGGCTTTGGCCTCCCCGGATGCCGGCATGGGTCTGGTGCCAGTAGAGCCTTGTACTCCCGCAAGACCGTTTGAAGCAGGTGTATCAAAGGGTAGGGCAAGACTGGGCGCGCGAACAGAGAATTTTGGGTACCAGATAAATCCCAGGTGAACCCCACGGCAAGTCCACGAGTCTGGGTGAGTCTTTGGCTGTGTGCTCCGCGCACGTTGTGTCTCCAAGGACAGATGATGCGACGCTGACGCAGGCCCGGTGGATGCAAGGGGGGAGGGCTTGGTGAGAAGGAGGGTGGATGCACATGCCCAGAGTACGCATTCTAGGGATCTTGTATGATACTATTGTTCAACCAGGTTTTGCTATGTTTGACAGCCCGCGTCTGGACGTATATGCTTTTATTGCGGGACAAGAACTGAGGTAGATTCCTTCTCGAACTTTGCCAGCAGCCAAGAGAAAAAACAATGCCCCTTTGGGCCAACGACGTCTCTCAATCCCTTGCTCAGATAGAATGGTGTGCCTTGGTCAGACCGAAGGCTTGCCTGAAAACTTTCCCTCAGCAAGTGGTGTGTTTGCAAGGGCCAACAAACTTGCTAGATCGGAGCGACTTGCCTAACCAGATGGCCAGCCGAGCTAAGCATCTAACCAGCTGGCTAGTTAATTTGACAAGCTAGCTGGCTCTGTTATTTAGCTGACGTGCTATCTAGCTCGGGCTAGCCACCTACCCGCGAACGCTAGAAACTGGCTGGCTCCAGCTATCTAGCAGAACCTAACCAGTTAGCTAGCTGTAGCCTATGCTTGAACTATACTTTTTGCTTTGTCCATCTAGCTAACTCTGAATCCGGCTGACTACCCAATTTAGTTGCGAAGCCTTGAAACATATGGCTCATTCGCCAAATCGAGGCATGCCTTGGTGTCTCAGGCCTCGCTGGAGGCGCTGGACAGCTTCGGGGCAATGCTGCTGAACTCCAAAATCAGCGCGGATCCTCGAAGATTTTCGCAAACGCCCCCCCTGGGCCACTTTAAGCTGCCACCTGGTTTGGGGGTAGTGGGTGGTAAGGCCTATGTAAACCTTGAGCACCATTTTGGCAGAAACAAAAGTCCATCGTGTTGGTCGCTGCTCAGGCGGGTTGACTTCTTGGTTTGCCTTCAACGTCCTGTTGGTTTCCATTTAAAAGCAAGTGTTTGATGCTCGGCCTGGTGTCAAGTTTCTAATGGCATATGTAGTTTCCCTTTGGATTCCTAAGTCCCAAAACCACCCAGCCGCCAACCACCCACCCACCAACCCACGAAGTCATACACGAGGATGCCCGTGGAGTCTGTGACTTTGCTGATGACGGATGGTGGAGTCCCAACACTCTTGCAAAAAGGAGCAGCAACATCCAACCCCAAAACCGGCTGGGCGTCATGCAGCTACTTTCGGGCTTGAACAGCCAGAATCTTATTGTCGGGTATTTCAAAGCCGAATGCGGTCAACCCGTAGGATAGTGTCCCTTTTGTAGGGAGAGGGGGGGGGGTCCTAATGTGTTGTAAATTCCTGGTGTGGGTGCTTTGCCCCTATGGGCAACTTGGGGTGCCCCAAGCAGCTTACATGGCTCAGAATGCAGTGCGGATGCCAACATATAAAGCAAGCCGTTGGGGACAAGTTGGACGCCCCCCTTAATTGCCCGCGACAAACACAAACACAATGTTGTGGGTGGATTGGTTGTTCACCTGCCCTTGGATTTTGTCACCCTAAATATTTTTGGGAAGTCAAAGGGAAACCACCCCCTTTTTGTCTTTTTTCAGGACAAAGCAAAGGGAACCCAGCCCAAAGGGACTGACTCCATCGCTTCTCCCACTTTCACTCCATTCTTCTCGCGTTTTCGAGGGCTTGCCATCGAGTCATGGTTGCGGATTATTGGGTTTTAGTGCCACATTCTGTGATACCAAAGCACTCCCCCTTGACATTGATCAAGTAGTCATGAGGATGGGAGTTCCATTTTGGTATCACAGAAAAGCTGATTGTCCTCACGTTTGTCCATTTTTTGTTATCTTTGTTGAACGTACAGTCCTTCTTGTATGCCCCAACCTCACATACCCCACAAGCGCTGTATTGTTAACATGGCTGCTGTACAACCACCTGTAGGGTCGGAGCTTAGAGTGGTGTTTGGAGCCAAGTGTTTTTGCATTGCTTGAGGACGACATGGACGCTTCACTTTGAGGCTGCCTTTTTTTCTCCCTCGTTGTACTTTTGGCATTCCCAGTCGAAGCCCGGGGCACTCCCATGCTCCTTTTTCCCACGGATCTCCCCCAGCGAGGTCATTTTTTTGTTTTTTGTCCTTTTGTCCTTTTGTCCTTTTGTCCGTATAGTTGCCCCAGTCTTTAAGATCAGCTTGGACATTTGTGGTTAGTTTCATTTAAGGGGGTGGTTTTAGGGGAAACAACAAGGGGACTCTGTTCGCAGACCCAAAAGCCTTAGACACGTCGTGGAGTCGTTGAGTCTCGTCGTCGAGTCTCGCCGTCGAGTCTCTTCGAGTCGGGTGAGGCGCTTTGCACAGGCGGTGCATTTTGGGCATCGCCTGGGACACCGCGCGGTGCGGGGATGCGCTGCTGGGCACGGACGGGGTTGGGGAGGATTGGAGGTGAGTTGGGCATGATGCTGGGGGTTGGGGCAGGGGGGCGGACGGATGGGGTTGGAGGAGAGTTGGGGGTGGGGAGGGAGCATGTTTTTTGTTGTTGGGCGGCTTGGGTGGGGGGAGGGTTGGGTTGAGGGGAGCATGGAGAGAGCGGGGGATGGGGGGGTGGGGTGGTGCCCGGTTTGCTTGTCGCTCTTTCCGGACCTTCAGGGTACTCAACAAGGCCGGCGTTTTCCCCTCGAAATTGACAGGTTTGGGTAGATGAATAGCCTGTCCAAGTGCGCTGGCACATTCTCTTCAGTGCGAATGCCAAAATAGAAGCCTTTGAAGTAACTGGGCCAACACTCAGGGTTGTCCGACTATTGGAGAACTTGTCTTTGTTGTAATTTGAGGTCCATTCAACGCCCAAATCAAAGCTGAAGATATCCAACAAGCACATGGGATGATATCTTTTCATCGGGAGCGCAGACTTGTTCCACAGAAGGATTTGCTGTAAAAGGACCATCTTATGAGCTGTTCCAAGCTCCTTTCTATGGACACCTGTCCTAGAGATCCCTTGGGAAGGCCTTAGGCCCAACCAAGCGCTGCCGAAGCTTTGCTACGCCACTAGGGTCGCCCTGCAGGACGACTTGGCTGCCCTTTCCACAGAAGAGACCGCCTTGTGCGAGGCGCGGCCCGCGCCCCCCGCCCCCCCTTGGGCAGAGGGAACTGGACCCGCAAGGCAGGTCTTGGGTATGACACTTGCAATACCCGGTGTTGATAGTTACTCATCTACATGTTGGGTGTCCTTCCTCAGCAAATTTGATCTGATGTCTACAACTGTGACGACTGGCAAGGATGTGTGTTGCCGTTTCACCAAGCACGACCTTGAAATTCAGATCATGTCAGGCTGGACATAAAACCTCATTGATATCCGCCAGAATGGTCCAACCGTTCAAATTCCTGCCATTTCCTAGCCCTGGGATCTCCGCGGTGACTCGGCCGATTGGATCCTCAGACGGCTCGGTTTCGTAGAGAATGTATCGCCGAACACCCAAGGCTTCCCAATTAAAACTCACACCCAAATCGGTCGCCAAGTCAACCCTGAGCTTGTTTTGCCTGTTCTGTCATTTGAACATTTTAAGGTTCAAGCAAACAACAACTGCCACTCTCCGTGTTTTCGAGTCTACCATGTATCTACCAGCGGGGGGAGGGTCCCCGCCGAACATCTCTCGCTCAGGTGGGCGCAATTTGCATCGCTGCAGCCATCGAGTTGCAGCTGGCAAAGGGGAGCGCGATTGGCAGCGCAAAGAGCGCGGTGGTTCCCAACGTCAGACCCTGGGTGCTTTGGTCAAAGCAAGGGTCCTCCGACAAAGGGCTTGCCTAGGAACAGATACACCCGTTGCCGGTTTTGAAGTAAGTTTCCCTGGGCACGTTGGTCACGGTACCCCTTCCCTACTCTGTGGTGAGCTGTTCTCAGAAGCCCCACTCAAAGTGTCTCCAACAACGACGGAACAGTCTGCCCATGTATCAACTCCTGGTTCAATTGGTGAATGAACTATCACTCGTTGCCAATTTTGGCGGCTGCCAGCCCACAAGGGATCCAGCATGGATTGCCAAAGGTTCATAAATGGACATATGCCACCAGCCTTTGTATTGTTTTCGTTTCCTTTTGGGTGGGTTGACGCATTGCCTTGCGGATGCCAATCTTGAGTATGCGTTGGGGCGATGCTCACGGTGAATTAGCCATTGACGGCGTACGGCAGCCTTTAAAGGCTTTTCAGATCTTTAACGGGCAACCTGCCCAGTTGCTGAATGTAGACAATTTGTCTAAAGGAACCGCAAAATGGTGTCCTTTTGTTTTCCCCAGAGGTACCTCCCCCCACATTGCCGTGGTACCTGACTGACAGGGGGCTCCCTTGAGGAAGTTAGTCTTCCAGGTACCCTCCCACGGGTAGTGGGAGGGCAGTGTACCTTCATCACTCCTTGGTGGATCCGAAAAGAGGCTCTTGATACGAGAGTCCTTACATGTTGCTTTTTGGACCATCTAACCCGCACAAATCCAATGAGCCATGGCAAGGGAGGCCACGGCTGCGCTGGCTCCCCTTGCTATGCCTCTCAATAGTCTCTCAATCAGTTTCGGAGCTACTCTTCGGATAATCCAAACCCACAAACCTGTGTAACCCAAGAAAACAAATAACAAATAAATAAATAGATGAAATAAATGAATGTCTGGGCCCCCAAACAGTCTCAACCCAACAAACACATGCAAGCCCACAAAATTGACTCGCGCTAACAGGGTTGAAGCGCTCTTTCACATGCCGAGGAGTGGCTGCAGTGGCGAGTAGAGGCGTGCGCCCGCGCTGCCCACATCGCAGGCCTGGACAGCAACAAGAGCGAGGCGGGAGTCGGGGACTTAACCCCCTCAGCCTAAAACCAAGAAGGTACAGACCCAACTAGGGATTTGGACATCCGGAGATGGTTTTCGTTTTTCTTTTCTCACTTTAAGCCAATTTCCACCGGGAAATGGACGACACCCCAAGAAGCCTCGTTGCGGCTTCATTCATGGAACCCGAAGAGCTTATCCCGAAGCTTTGCGGGGTACCCAATGGTTCCAGAAGGTTCCTCGATGACTCAGGGTAACAAATTGGCAGCCCCAAGAGGAGATTCTTTCACAGTTCAACCATCACTTTCCGGGCCAACTTAAAGTGAGTTGTTTTTTGGTGGGAACCCCGCAACAAGAGGTCACTGAAAAGAAGGTTCCTTGTAAATGGGTTCTGCTCTTATATAACGACATGCGGGAACATGGGAAGCTTCCCCAGGGTAGAAATCGGCAGACCTCCCGCCGATGTTCCCCTCACTGGGTTGGCGCCCGTGTCACTTGTTCTCAGGGAAGCTGGGAAGGACCCATTACCCCAACCAAGGGGATCTTGTAGGGATCTTATAGGGAGGTCCTTTTCCCCACCCAAGAACGGGAGTTGGCAGGGAATGTTTGGAAGCTCATTCCTTCATTCCCACCTTCTGTACTAAGCAAGCAATTTGGTTCAGGTCGACCTTGAATTAGCTTTTGGAAGGGTCGATGATAGTGAGAAAGAAGAGTCTCCTTTTGGTCTTTGAAAGGGACAGGGCGCTTCCGGAAATATTGCATGCAACACACAAGCAGTAGCTGTATAGGTGTTTCATCAGGGTTTCAGAGTAGATGTCCTTTTTTTCTTGCCAAGTTTTAGAGCTGTGTTCAAGATGCTGGAAGGGTCCTTGAGTGCGTCAAGCTTCAAGGGTCAGCTGGGGTCCAACCTATGTGCTCACCCTGTTTGGGTGGCTTCGCTTAAACATCAACCTAGTGGCATCCGATTTTGAAAAGGGAGCTTCCTATCTGCTCCCTTTTCCCTCAACCATTTGGAGAATGCCCTAGCGGTCATGACATGCAAACAACCAACGGCAAACCGACGGAGAACCCTTCAACCCCACCATCTACTCGCCGGCCAACCATGTGTTCGTTGACCCCGCACTATTGTCGACACGGATCCTTGCATACGCCTAGAAGCCACAAAGAATGCTAGATACGCATCTACGGCCTTTCTGAGGGTTGGGTTGAATAGACGCTCGCCGTTTATTTCCTAGGCCAAATGTGGCGGAAGGACCTGGTGCCGGACCCCAAAAGCCCATTAGCAAGATCAATTGGTGTTTCTCCTTCACAACAAAATGGATGTTCAACTATGTTTTGTCTTTTGTTGGAATCCTGTTATTTCTAGTTGGTTTGCCTTTTTGAATTTCCGGCTTTCCTGATGATTGCCTTTTTGTTTCCTTTGGCTTCGCCTGGGGTTGCCAAGGCTCGCAAGGTTTTCCAATTTTGATTTGGTAGAAATCAGCACCTGGCCGGAGTTCCATTTCAAATGCTTTTTTTCTATTCTTGGGCCCAACCTTCCCCCCTTCTCGTGAGGCGCTGCGGAACATCGCGGCCTCCTTGCTGGAGCCTTACCGCCTGGGATTCGAAGAACTCCACCAGCAGGATGATGCGCTGCCGTGCAGCGCACGAAGACGCCACACGTTGGCCATTTTGTGGGTTCTACTACCTGGTTGAATTGGGAATGTAGCAAAGCCTACGTACCATCTTAGTAGAACCCAGAAGTCAATGAGTTTTCTCGTTATCAGGGCCCGTTGCAGAAAATGAGCCCGCGCCAGCTCCACTACCGCCTGCCAGTATTATTGGTAGTCTACAGTTAGTTTGGGGAAAGCAAGGGACCCTGTCGCAAAGGAAATGTCGCGGACCAACCCTGAAACTACCGGTAACATTGAAAGATGTCTCCAAAATTGTGAGATTCGAAAGTCATATCGCCCCACAAAGTGTTGATTTCGGTGATTTTCTATTCGGGTTTTCGGCTGTGGTTTTCCCTTTGGTGACCTTCAAATCAGCCCAGAACTGGGCGCAGATGCGTCTCCAAATTAAATCTGGAACAACCAACACTGGGCTTTGGTTTTCCTTTTTGGTTTCCGTTTTAGCGGCTGCAAAGAACACCGTGTTTTGCTAGCATGCACAAGGATTGGACAAATGAACAACTGGCAAAATGAGCAATCCATCATTCGTTTGAGAAGGACGTAAGACTTCACTGTGCATGGCATGTTTTGATTGCCGTTGGTTGGTTCTGTTCAGATTTTTCAGTGGGCTGCAAAGAACACCGTTTTTGCTAGCACACCAAGGGTTGGAAAGAGCTGACAGAATGAGTAGTCGACAGTTAGGTTGGAGGAGCGGGGCCCCAAACTTCCCAACACCAGGGGCCCACCCGATTTGTCCATGTCCTTTTGGGGAATCAAGCAGTCCGGGCTCAAATGTCGAAACTTTGGATAGATTTGGGGAGCGAGCTCACTTGGGGATCATGAATAAAGGCCCACGATGAAGCTTTCCTCACTTGAGGATTCCTTGACTCTGGGTGATCGAAGTATAGCAAGTGCAGAGAAATCCGAAAAGCGGTACTAAATAGAGGATTCCCCCAATTGGATCGTTTCCCCGGTTGACATTCGATTTCTGTCGATGGGTGTCGCTAGATTTCTTCGAGTGGCTCGGTTCGTCATTGTGGCATGCTCAGCAATGGTGACTTTGGTTTCTGACCGCCCAACTTGGTCGAGCACCCAAAGGGCAGCCAGGAAGCGAGCCCGGCCGGGGTTAGAAGGGATGAAGGTCCTGTCCCTCCCGGAGTCTGGGTCCCGGTGGCGCCGGTGGGGATGCCGGAGCTTTTGAATGTTCCCTGGTGGCCCTGCTGTGAACCTACAAGGAAAAGAAACCGGGGTGTGAATTTTTATGGGCCCGACATGGTGGACGTCATGGTGGGGAGAAGCATGAGGACGTGATTCCAACTCTCAAAATTCATCCCTGTTCCCTGATGGATGTGGGTGGCTCGTGCTTTGTTTGCCCTCCCCCCCCAGGCGCCGGGTGGCACCAAGGGACACCACCATAGGTGTCTTTTTTTTGTTGTTTTGGTCGAAAAATAGATGGCGATTCCTGGTTTACCTGGTGGTTTAATCATCTACCAGGGAAACCCATCTATTTCCCCGGGCGGGATGCCTATGGACCCCATGGGGGTCAGCACGAGCCGACGCATCCACCTCCGCCTGCGCTGCCTCGAATCGGAGGAGCTGGCGGCGCTGGAGGTGGCGCAGCTGCGGAAGGAGCTGCAGGCGCAGGAGCACCAGGAGCTGAGCGCTTCGCTGTGCGCTGGGCTTTGGGATTGGTTTGGAGGTGTTCGGGTGAAGCCAAACACCACCAGGTAGTTATGAATCCTTGTTTCTCAAAATTTGGTCCTTTGGAGGTCGAACATGGTGATATGTTTAACAGCTTTGGAGAAGCTGCTTTTGTTGTTGTCGCTTTATTGGATGCCATTCTTTTCGTTTTAGATTGTCATTGTTCCGTATACATCTAGACTTTTGTTTGTTGAGTACATCAGTTCCCTTCCAGGGTTTTGTACATTTTGTGAAACCCAGGATTGCATGTTCCGTTTTTTCTTTCCCTGGTGTCCCTCAAACCTTTCAACTTGAAGTTTCACGCTCTCGGGAAGTCCAAGACGAAGCCGGACTCTTTGGGTGGGTTTGAATTTCTTGTCAAGATGCGTGGCTCGACCTTTTTTGGGGTACTCTTCTTTGGGCTGGCTTTAGAGGGAAACCAAAAGGACGCCATCCATTTCAGGGCCCATTTTGAGACTGACCGAAATGGGTGTGGTGTGGTTTATTCTTGCTAACACCCTTTTTGGGCTGTTAAAGGGACACTTACAGGACTTTCTTTTTCTTTTCTTGTTCCGTATCAAATGCCAAATGAGCAGCAAATGGATGCCCATTTTGAACACGTCCCAATGCAAAGGAGCAACACAAACTCTATCTCGTTGCCCAAAATAGAAGCTGAGCCTGCAAAAGACTGGGTTTACCAGGCGAAGGGGCAGATCATCTGGTGTCCCTTTCAAGCAACCTTAACAGGGGGCACCCTCCACCCTTTCTACGGAAGGTGTCTTTCTAACCTATTAGTTTCAGCAGGCTCTTTGTGGAGGTATCCTTCACGGAACCCTTGCTGAATCACTGAAGGGACATCCCGCGTTCTAGGGATGAAGCCCTAAGGTTTGGGGCTCGGGAGCGCAGGAGCGGCAGCAGAAGTTGAAGAGGATCAAGGCCGGGGGCTTGGCCTCCACGGCGTCAGTAGGATCAATGTCAGTGCGTCTAGATGTGTGTATATTATATGTGTACATATGGCATACATATATATATATATATATAATATATACATATATATACACACACCATGTGTAAATGCACATGTGCATGATTTTATGCGTGTACAAAGCATGTATTTACAGATCTCCGGAAAGGGCTGCTGAGAGCGGTGTCGTTGTCTTGGTCCAATTAACCTAGCAGAGTTCCAAATGTTGAATCCCAGAAAATATGCAGACATGTGTGTGGATGGACCTTGCTTCCCCCCCTCCCCCGAATTGACCAGCCTTCACTGTAGGCTTCCTTCAGGTGCCAGCCAAATTCCAGCAGTCACTTGCGCATCCCCTTGACAGAATCATGTCGCTCATGTGTAGCATGTGTGTCGTTTAGTTTCCGTAGATGTTTGGCATGTTTAGATGTTGTTTCGCCCTCCCGATACTGAAGAATGTCCGGAACCTTACTGCGCATTCCGAGCATGATTCTCCATACCGACCGTATTGCCAGGACTTTGCGAGTTCATTGCTTAGGATGTGTCTATGCATCTACTCGCCAATGCCTCGCATGACTGGCAGATCCTTAGGACGTGTGTGCATTATGTATTCGGCTAGCCTCTTTTCATGTTGCATGTGTATAGTGTTCGGCCATCATAGTATATATATATACATATATATATATATATATGTATACTATTGATTGTAGAATATGCCAAGCTGCAGTGAAGTTCAGTTCCAGTATATGCCTTGCATATGCCTTGGGCAAGACCGTTGCATGGTAGCGTTTGCCAAGTTTCAAAGTACATGATTTTTTGCCGGAAGAAAAGAGTGTTGGTGGCCTCCCCTCTGCAACATGGAAACATGTCCGTGCGTTTAGTTGTATTGTACGTGTTCGGAAATCTACGCTATATAGGTTCCAGGAGCCCATGTTCAGCTCTCTTGGGCGAAAAGGCCAATGCACCTCCGCCAGCATCTCCTCACCAAACCAGAGGGGTCCTGCAGGTCCCGGTAGGTTCTTGCCCGTGGGTGTAATATGTTTTGCCTATGGCGGAAGCCAGCGCAAGGCTCCGAAAGCATCTCGTTGGCCCGGCGGTTGATCATGTTCTTTGGCATCTACTTCGCCTTCAAAATCTTCATGGATCCACTCTGGCGCGGATGTTTGAGCGCGAGGCTACAATGTCCGATGGCAGATGGCTACACTTGTTCTTCAAAGCTGTTTCGCATTTTTCTCTGGGGTTTATCGTATGCTAGTTTTACCTGGCCATTATTTAGCTTGGCTTCTCTCTCCGCTTTTGCTCAGATGGGCTATGTCAGCAATTGGTTTGCTTTTGGCGGATCAGAGTCTGTTCCGTTGGGTGATGGATGGTAAAACCTTGGGACCGAAAGCCCGGAGCTTCTGAAATGAGATTCCTGGTGGACCAAGTCCGTTTCACACCTTGTCCGCCAGTCTCCATAGGAATCCCGAAGGCCAACACTCCCATCTCAACACCTCAAATCCTGAAGAAATCCAGGGATCTTTGGGGTCCCACGCCCCAGCCCCGAGACGAGGTTCAAATTCAAATGGCAGGATGAACCGTCGCCACCTGGGGCTTACAGTCGCCCAGGAGATCCAAGAGCAACGGTCTGGAGGCGACCCTGAGCTGCAAGCAGCCCTGGACCTCGAGCTGAAGGCTGGGGGGATATCAAAGTCGGCTTCCTTTCAGGCTCGAAAACGTGAAGCTTTGAGTCTGGTTTTCCACCGCCAAGGGAAACCAAGGACACGGGTCAGCTTGGATCGTGGTTCTTGCGCTTGGAGGGCTAGGCGTCGCATGGCTCGGATTTGGCAGGGCTCTGTGTCACGAGGAGTGGTAGAACCGGAGTCTTTCGTTGATATGGTTTGGGGGGACCGGGAAGCTCTTGAAGTCTTAAACACGCCAGGAGTGTTTTTGTGTGATGAACATCACGCTACACTGCATCCAATTGTTTTGCTTCTGGGGCTACGATCGAGCCGTGAGTACCTGCGAGCAAGTCACTAAGAAAGTTCTCAACGCTGGCCGGCCAGCATAAGAGAGCCCCAGAAAAACGGACGGCACCCCTTCATGTGCCGTGGTCAAAAGACCCCTTTCAAGTCTGGGCTCCAAACGCCTTCACGAGGCGGCTCGGTGTAGGTCGCAATGGCAACCGGCGAAGAGGGCCTTGACAGGAACATCCAGATGCTTGCCGTGGTCCTCTAACTGTCCGGGCATCTCGTCAAGTACCACATCGTGCTCACTTGGGTAGTCGCCGTTTTTCTTTACATGGGCTTCCGCCTTCATGGGAGGTCACTTTCAGCATCGCATTGCCCTGCGTACGCGGTATACCTTCCGTTGGTTTCCGTCGCTGGAGCCGCTTTCTTTCGGAATTGGCAAACGCCTTGATGTGTCCCAGCGTGAGACTAGTCGGATTCAAAGCTGGGTGACTGGGCGGTTGGGCCCGTGGAGTGAAGCCATGATGACTAATGAGTATCCCTGGAGATGCGTGGCAGGGGCTTCCAGGTTTTCGGAGTCGCGTCATCAGCTCGGACAGGGATCAGGCCTTGTGGCCCGCTCCCACGAAGCTCAGCTCTCTGGCCCTTGACTGTCAAAGGGGAGTGTGCGGAGTGTGCTTATGTTCTTCGATCCATTTTTCCTTCGAGACTGTTTGGACGTGGCAGGCTGCTCATTCCTGCTTTGTGGGCGGTGGCAAATGCGAGACGTGTTACGTACTTTAGGCCTCAGGCTTGAATTGGCTACATCGAGTATGTCCCACTTTGTGCTGTCGTTTCTGTGCCGGCTTTTTGCCAGGCGTGTTTTTGGTGGACTACCCAAGTCTGGCCTGGTGATCTGAGTGTCAACTGGGCTCACGCTCGCTTCACTAACTTCACTGGAAGGCAGTTGCTGACAACAGCAATTTTGCCAATAGGTGAAGCGCCCTGCCCTTGACACCTTGAACTGGCCAGGTAGAACTACCGGCCACACCGATAATGCTCAAAGGGATGGCACGGACATGAGACCCATGAGTAACAGCGGTCACCTGAGGTTGTCTGTCCTTCGACAAGAACGCGCGAGGTGACAAGACCCCTTTAGTTGGGGGTTGGCAGCGATGGTCATCAATCCCGGGCAAGGGCTGGCTCGTTCCTTTCTCATCGAAGCCAACGGTCACCAGGAGCTAGCAGGCCAAGTGGCATCGGCTTCGTCACCCTTGGCCGGGGCGCCCGAAACGAGCGACTGCAGCCTAGTGGGTACTGCCACTTCGTGTGGAACCCCCCCCTCACTTGATTTTGAACACGCCAAATCGCAAGGCTCTTGCCTTTGAGTATGGCATTTGGAGTCGCATCTCAGGCGAATGGGGGGGGGGGGGATGAAATGATTGATTCACCCAGGCAACTCCTGCTTGTTTCACTTGTGAACTTGTAGAGAACCCAGAAAAACGAGGGGCGACATGAGCACGCGGGACGGAGGGTGAGTTTGAGTCAGTCGACAGTCCTCGGGACATTTGATGTGGGATTCTTTGTAGGAGTCTTGTAGATCAATGCGAAATCCGGCCAGCGCAGATAATATTGCAGTGCTGGAACATTTGGCTCTGTGCCAACTTGTGCCTGTTACACGTTCCTTGGAGCTTGCGTGACGGCAGTGTGCAAGGTGGGCGGAAAGAGTCTGAGTGGAACTTCAACAGCAAAGGATGCAAAGGACAGTGTCTGCATGTTGCATTTGGCCGAAAGATACATAAGTTGTGTCATGGGAGGCAGCAACAACTAAACAACATCGTGACATTAGGTACGTTCTGTTAATGTGAAATTCGAGTCGATCGCATGGCAGGACGGAGAAGAGACAGAAGCGCAAGACAAGCACGGAAAGGCGGAGGCAGAGTTGGTTCTCGGACTCGATTTTGGGAGACATGTGTGGTGCCCAGATGAGGCATTGCAAACATGGTAGCCCATCACGTCAGTCTGTCGTGTCTAGAAAACATGGCAAATGCAAATGAAGTGCTGGGAAGCTTGGAATGAGTATGAGTCTTGTGGCCAAAACAGGAGCCCAAATCCGACCAGGCCAAGTAATGGCAAACTATTTCCTCTAGTGCCTGCTTTGACAGGATGCTTGGAGCAGCATACAAGCCTTCCACATCACAATGCTTGTGTGACGGCAGTGTGTCATTTGGCAAGGCCGGTGGAAAGAGAGAGAGCGCTACTTTAGCAGCAGAGGACGCAAAGGACGCAAAGGGTGCAAAGGGCAGTGTCTGCACATGGTATTTGGCCGAAAGATGGTTATATTATGAGAGGCATCAACAACTAGACAACATCGTAACATTAGGTACGTTGTGTTTTGTTGATACAAAAAGTTTGTTTTTTACGCATGGCAGGATGGAGAAGAGACAGAAGCGCAAGACAAGCGCGAAAAGGCGGAGGCAGAGTTGGTTCTCGGACTCGATTTTGGGAGACATGTGTGGTGCCCAGATGAGGCATTGCAAACATGGTAGCCCATCACGTCAGTCTGTCGTGTCTAGAAAACATGGCAAATGCAAATGAAGTGCTGGGAAGCTTGGAATGAGCATGAGTCTTGTGGCCAAAACAGGAGCCCAAATCCGACCAGGCCAAGTAATGGCAAACTATTTCCTCTAGTGCCTGCTTTGACAGGATGCTTGGAGCAGCATACAAGCCTTCCACATCACAATGCTTGTGTGACGGCAGTGTGTCATTTGGCAAGGCCGGTGGAAAGAGAGAGAGCGCTACTTTAACAGCAGAGGACGCAAAGGACGCAAAGGGTGCAAAGGGCAGTGTCTGCACATGGTATTTGGCAGAAAGATGGTTATGTTATGAGAGGCATCAACAACTAGACAACATCGTAACATTAGGTACGTTCTGCTAATTTGAAAGTCGAGTCGGTCGCATGGCAGGACGGAGAAGAGACAGAAGCGCAAGACAAGCACGGAAAGGCGGAGGCAGAGTTGGACATGTGTTGTGCCCAGATGAGGCATTGCAAACATGGTAGCCCATCACGTCAGTTTGTCGTTCCGCATGGTGCCAGTTTGGAAAACATGGCCAATGCAGATTGAGGTGGGACACTTTGTATGCGCATGAGTCAGCATGAGTCTTGTGGCCAAAGCAGGAGCCCAAATCCAACCAGGGCAAATAATGCCACACTATGTCCACTAGTTCCTACTTTGTCACGTTGCGTGGAGCAGCGTGCATGTCTTTCACAGCACAGTGCATGTGTGACGGCAGTTTGTCATTTGAAAAGGCAGATGGAAAGAGGGCGAGCGCCGCTTCAACAGCAAAGGACGCCAAGGGCGCAAAGGACCTTTTCTGCATGTGGCGTTCGGCCGAAAGATGATAGTGTCACGGGAGGCAGTACCAACTAAACAACATCGTGAAGTTAGGCACGTTCTGTTGATATGAAAGTTGAATCGATCGCATGGCAGGACGGAGAAGATACAGAAGCACATGACAAGCACGGAAAGATGGAGGCAGGGTTGGATATTGCGTTGGTTTTGGGAGACATGCTTTGTTCCCAGATGAGGTTGTTTTCAACATGGTAATCCAGAATGCCAGCTTGTTTTTCCGCAACTGGCAAATGCAGTTTGAAGCATGAGTCCTGTGGCTAAATACGAGGGCACGTGTGACCAGGCCGAGTGATACCACACTATTTTTTTGCTAGGTCCCGCTTTGACGGCGGCCTGACAGCTAGCAGCTGTGTTCAGTTAAGCAGCCAGCAAGCCACCCATTCCAGCCATCCATCCATCCATCCATCCATCCAGCCGGCCGGCCGGCCGGCCGGCCGGCCAGCCAGCTAACGAACCAACCAACCAACATCAAGCTAACAGTGTCTCGGCATGCACGTCTTCCAAAGCACAATGCTTGTGTGACGGCAGTGTGTCATTCGGAAAGGCGGACGGAAAGAGGGCGAGCGCCGCTTCAACATCAAAGGACGCCAAGGGCGCAAAAGATGCAAAGGACAGGTGATGTCCGAAGGGTCCCGAATAAGGAGTTTGGGCTGTTTTGGCTTGGGCTGTTTGGGCTGGTTTGGGTTCAACTGGTACTGATGGGCTGATTTGACTTGTCATCCAGAACTTGAATTATGTGTTGTGCCTCTTTGCTTGTGATTTGCAGGCATTGTCGTCAATCATCAGCCTTTCAATGTAGCCTGTTTGGTCAGCGATTACAACTTCATCACAGAGAGTCATGTGAGATTGGCGGTGGATTTGCTTATTTGCCGCAGTTTGGTACGGCAGTGCCTCTACTGGTTGCGCTCCTGCCATGATGAGCACGCAGGCTGAGATCAACGAGGAATCAGAGATTTCTCGATTGATCGCTGCCCAGCAAGCCCATCCTGAGAAGACCATGCGGGAAATTGCAGAACCCTGCGGTCTTCCCTCCATGCGAGCACGATGCTTGCTGATTGCAGCAGAGGCGGACCTTGCCCAACGGCCAGATGCCAAGATGCTTGCCGCAGAAAAGCAGACAGGCAAGGCCACTCTTGGCGACGAATTTCATGCGGCATTGTGTGACCTGTTGTCGCAAGGCCAGCGTTTCAGGAGGCCATCCACGATGTCATGCAAAAGCTACCCCGCAACGACCAAATCAGCAGCTTCGCACCTCGCCGCTGCATAGTCCCTCCGAGTCTAGACAGCGTCTCCTCGTTGTATCTCTTGATTGGCTGCAAAAGGGTTTCCACTGTGGCAGGGATGCTTGCCTCCCCGTACGACCAGGAGGCAAAGTTCGAGCAGCAAAGGTTCACCTCAACGAGCTTGCAAGAAGGTTTTTGCGACCCGCCAGAGCCGAACTCTGCGGAGAATGTTCTCAAGCAGGAAGTGGAACCAGCCAAGGAGACCCTGAAGCAAGGTGAAGACAAGGGTGTGTGCCTCATGGTAAGTCTTACAGACATCCATGCACAAGAGAACCCCAAAAAGATAAGTGACCCGGGCATTTCGCCCACACATTCAATGTAGTGTTGACGAACAGCACAGAGATGGGCCGATTTGAAACTCGCATATATTCGGCAAATGTTGACAAGGACACCAACAGCTGGGTCAAGGACAAACGCGCCCTGGTGGATGTGGACAATTTTATCTCCCACATCAATCAGGTGGACCGTGCCCATGGACGGCAGAGGTGGAGATTTGGCACCAGCTTGGTGTGAAGATGCCGGATTTCGAAAGAAGAAATGGCCAGTGAAAACATAAGGATCCTTGTCAGCGAGTTGATCGGAAGCCATTGAACACGTCAACGGCTTTGTTCCATGGTGCGAACTGGCAAAGTTTGTCGAGCTTAGGCTTCATGTATGGACCGTAGGGCCCAACCGTCGCCAGTTCGCACATGTCTTGCGAAGTGGAGTCGGCTTGATTGGAAGCGAGGTATACAAACGCAGCTTTGTGATTCGGGAGAGGGTCGCCTGCTGATCTGTATGTACAAGCAACCAACGCGCGCAAGGAAAGATGCTGACAATGCGAATGTGAAGATTGGCAGACCCACCCTTATTAGTAGAGCCATGACCCATGCAAGAAATTGCGAGAAGGAACAATGGTGGGGCAACAAACAACAACAACCCACGGCTCGCATGCAGGATGGAGAAGAGAAAGAACTGCGGGACAAGCATGGACAGAAGGAGGCGGAGTGGGCTATTCAGTCGGTGTTGGACGGCAGGCTTTCTACCCAGATGAGGCATTGCAGGCATGGCAGGCCATTATGCTCTTTCGTCGTTCCGCATGGTGCCAGTTTCAAGCGCGCAGCAAATGTACAGGTGCAGACACCTCTTATGGGCATGAGTCTTGCTGCTTGACAAGAGCCCACATCCGACCAGGCCGAAAACCGCCACACAGTGTCCAAGCACCAGTTCCTCTTTCTGACGCGCTTGCGAAATCCTGGAAGCAGCATGCAAGTCTTCCAAAGCACAATGCTTGTGTAACGGCAGCGTGTCATTCGGCAAGGCAGATGGAAAGAGGGCAAGCGCTGCTTCAACAGCAAATGACACAAAGGGCGCAAAAGAAGCAAAGGACTCAAAGGACAGAGTTCGTTCCTGTCATTCGTCCGAAGAATGCATTTGTCGTATTGAGGCAGACAACTCAACAGTTATTGTAGCATGAACCACGTTTGGTTGGTGTGGGCCTCGAATTGATCGCATGCAAGGACGGAGAAGAGAAAGAAACGGAGGACAAGAATGGAAAGAAGGAGGCGGAGTGGGTTGTTTAGTTCGTGTTGGACGACAGGCTTTCTACCCAGATGAGGCATTGCAAGCATGGCAATCCATAATGCTCTTTCGTCGTTCCGCCAGTTTCAAGGCACAGCAAAAGCGCATGCGCGGAAGCTTCGTATGGGTGTGAGTCTTGTGGCTATAAGAGCTATGCGACTAGGCCGAGCAATGCCACACAATGTCTTCGAAATCCTTGAAGCAGTATGCAACGATTTCATTGCACCATGCTTGCGTGGTGGCAGTGCGTCAGTTGGCAAGGCGGGCGGAAATAGTACGAGCGCCGCTTCAACAACAAAGGACGCAAAGGGCGCAAAAGAAGCAAAGGACTCAAAGGACAGAGTTCGTTCATGTCATTCGTCCGAAGAATGCATTTGTCGTATTGAGGCAGCAACAACTGAACAGTTATTGTAGCATGAACCACGTTTTGTTGGTGTGTGCCTCGAATTGATCGCATGCAAGGACGGAGAAGAGAAAGAAACGGAGGACAAGAATGGAAAGAAGGAGGCGGAGTGGGTTGTTTAGTTCGTGTTGGACGACAGGCTTTCTACCCAGATGGCGCATTGCAAGCATGGCAATCCATAATGCTCTTTCGTCGTTCCGCCAGTTACAAGGCACAGCAAATGCGCATGCGCGGAAGCTTCGTATGGGTGTGAGTCTTGTGGCTATAAGAGCTATGCGACTAGGCCGAGCAATGCCACACAATGTCTTCGAAATCCTTGAAGCAGTATGCAACGATTTCATTGCACCATGCTTGCGTGGTGGCAGTGCGTCAGTTGGCAAGGCGGGCGGAAAGAGTACGAGCGCCGCTTCAACAACAAAGGACGCTCAGGGCGCAAAAGAAGCAAAGGACTCAAAGGACAGAGTTCGTTCATGTCATTCGTCCGAAGAATGCATTTGTCGTATTGAGGCAGCAACAACTGAACAGTTATTGTAGCATGAACCACGTTTGGTTGGTGTGGGCCTCGAATTGATCGCATGCAAGGACGGAGAAGAGAAAGAAACGGAGGACAAGAATGGAAAGAAGGAGGCGGAGTGGGTTGTTTAGTTCGTGTTGGACGACAGGCTTTCTACCCAGATGGCGCATTGCAAGCATGGCAATCCATAATGCTCTTTCGTCGTTCCGCCAGTTACAAGGCACAGCAAATGCGCATGCGCGGAAGCTTCGTATGGGTGTGAGTCTTGTGGCTATAAGAGCTATGCGACTAGGCCGAGCAATGCCACACAATGTCTTCGAAATCCTTGAAGCAGTATGCAACGATTTCATTGCACCATGCTTGCGTGGTGGCAGTGCGTCAGTTGGCAAGGCGGGCGGAAAGAGTACGAGCGCCGCTTCAACAACAAGGGACGCAAAGGGCGCAAAAGAAGCAAAGGAATCAAAGGACAGAGTTCGTTCATGTCATTCGTCCGAAGAATGCATTTGTCGTATTGAGGCAGCAACAACTGAACAGTTATTGTAGCATGAACCACGTTTTGTTGGTGTGTGCCTCGAATTGATCGCATGCAAGGACGGAGAAGAGAAAGAAACGGAGGACAAGAATGGAAAGAAGGAGGCGGAGTGGGTTATTTAGTCGGTGTTGGACGACAGGCTTTCTATGCAGATTAGGCATTACAGGCATGGTAGTCCAGTATGCTCTTTCGTTGTGCTGCATGGTGCCAAAGGCACAGCAAGTGCAAATGCGCTGAGTGAGTCTTGTATACGACCAGGCCGAACAATGACACACCATGTCCAGACACAAGTTCCCGTTTTTCCTGTGCCTTCGAAATCCTTGACGCAGTATGCCACGTTTTCATTGCACCATGCTCTGAACAACATCTTCACGGCCAATGTTGTTTGAGTGTTGGACTGGTCATTGCAACACCTGTCTCCCGAGTAATTTGTGGGTGATTTGTCGGGGAGGAGAAGCGTTGTCAAAAACGGAGGGAACCTTTACATGACGTGGGGCTGGTTGCCGACTGGTTCCCCTTCAGTTCAAACGAATACCAACAGAAAGAGCCTCCCATTTGTTTCTGTAGATACCAGGGAAATGTATCCAGGGGGCTTCACGCTTGTTTTATGTTGTGGATTTCAGTGCCGATGGTTTCTTGAGCTTTTTTGGTCCTATGGTGAAAGGGCCGCAATCCAAAGGGTCCTACTGTGAACCTGGGACATTGAGCTCGCGCTGCGAAAGCTTCGGGACCTTAGCCCCACCTTGGATTAAAGGGGCTTAAGCCTTGGTCGGCCAATCTCTTGCAGGACTTGGGTGGGCTGAGTGTGTTTGGGGCTGGAGGGGGAGTCGGGGGATTAGGTGCTGGGCGAGACACAACAAGACACGCTGGGAATTGGCGCATCTGTGGCGCCTTGGGCGCGATGGGGCTTGTTTCTTCAGATTCTGTCTCAAAATTGGAAGCCCCGTTTCGGGTGGTTTGAATCCCACATGAACAGTAGCCTAGAGCTACGCTGAATGATTTTGAGATATTGGGCAAATGGCATCGCGGCACTTCCGGATTTCTGTATGAATTGTGACAACTTGATTATGCGTTCACAGCATGGCGTTCGGGCGGTTGGGCGCGCGCGGGAAGCACCACAAGGTTTGTTCGGTGTGAGCCTTTCCACTGGAAAATCTGAGACCAGAGATCCGCAGGCTGGAGGGGTTGATTTTTCAGATGAGTTGAGTGGGTAGAATTTGGTTAGTCTCAAGATAGACCCTCTTGGATGTGATTCCCTATGGTTTCCCTTGACAACTCAAAAAATGGACCCCAGCAAAGTCACGCCGGTGCTTAAATACCACCCAGGTAGGGGAAGAGTTTTTGCGTTTTCCGATTGGAGCTGGGGTTCACACGTCGGCGCCTAAAATGAGTAGAGTGGCTGCTCCAACCCACTTGAGGGTGACACACCCAGGAAAAAAGCCCAACTCTATTTGGTAAACACAATAAACACTCTGACGAACAAGCAAGCAAACTGTTTGCTCACCGCAAATGGAGTCCCAACAAGTATTATATGAAGTCCAGGAACTCGCGGGCAGAGCGGGCCTGGAACAAAATGCAACCTGATCCATCCCAGTTTAGTTTCCTTTTTTGGCTCCCGGAGCTTGTTCGCTTTTGGTAGGGAGTTGCAAAGTACAGAGTGTTTTGCCAACATACAACGGGTTGGACAGTTGCCGCCCCCCAAGTTAGTTGTCATTCGGTTTACGGGGGATGTTTAGATCGTCTTCAGATCACCTGCAATGTGAGGGTGCCTCCTGGGTAGCGGTTCCCAAAAATGAGAACCACCCCTAGCCCCGTGGCTGGCTTGACTGGAACGTAGATGATGGGTCTCCAAAGTATGGCTATGGGGAGGGGCTATGCCTTGAACTCTGAACAAGGCCTTGTTGGAGGAGGCTTATTCCTAGACTTATCCAGAGATAGTCCTCCTTGGAAATCCATGATTCTAGGAAACCTCCTTATCACCGGAGCTGCGCTGCTCCCTTAGCCTTCATCCACCGCTCTCGGCGGCCACAGAGTCAGTGCCTGAGCCTGTTGGTTTTGTGCTGTTCTTGTTTTTCTTCGGATTTGCATCTACCGTTCTGGCAGCGTTCTGGAAACCCTCTTTTTGTTGGCAGAGGGGGGAACTGAAATGGAACATCCAAGCGGTTGAGTAACGTGGCAAAGCCAGGGAGTTGTCAGCAGGAAACCCAAAGGACAGTTTGATCCGAAAGCACGTGCATGGGCTCATGTTTTGTCAGAGACCCCCTGGAGTGAACCTCGCCAGTTCGACCCATCGCGGCCGAAGTGACCGCAGGCCAAGAGTGGTGGCAAGGCACGGGAGCATGTTGTTCCACTCGCAGGGTTCTTAAGATCTATCCTATTTGTTAAGCATCACTTAGGGCAAACTGATTCAAAGTGAGTCAATTCCTTTTGAGCCGGTTCCATTCTTTCAGGTTCATTTGGCCTTCAAGCGAGGCCTCAAGGCCTTGTGGGCCTTATGGCCGAGTCTTTTGTGAAGGAAACCAGGAAAAAGGGAGCAGCGCCCGAAGCCGGCTCCAAAAGGGCTGTAGGTGGTTCGGTTCCTTCCTGCTCTGACAGGCTACAGTACGGCCTATGTAAACCTTTGTGAGCATCTTGGTAGAACCAAAAGTCAATGGGTTTCAGAGACTGCTCAAATGGTGCTAGGGGACGGGGGTCGAATCCAAGTTCACCAAATGCCTAGCACATACCAAAGTTTGGGCGGTTCTCCTTCAGGCTCGTTGGGGCGATCCTGAGCTGGTTTTTGGTCGGACGGGATGGGTTGCAAAGGAGCTGGACATATCTAGAAAACAACGGAGCGCAAACACGGCTCGGGAGGGCCGGCTGAACTTGACAAGCTGGGCGCGAATCGTGCCTTTTTCCAGGCGAAAGGTACCCTTTTGGAGTTGGAAACCAAAAGGAAATGAAGCAACTTATATAGGGATTCCAATCCCATATTGACACATGCCCAGAATCACCCCACCCCCCAAGGGCTCCTTCTTTGGTGAGGTCTATGACGAAGTGGGAGGCTATTTGACAGATTTCGGCATGATTTGCCGAAGCACGCGATGTGCCTCATGGATGTTGTGCTAGTTGCACTGGTGATGGACAAAATCCTGCACCAGGTGCAGGGTTGCATCTATCAAAAAAATGGGTTTGTCTACATTACACTGCTTGCAGGACGTACAGAGTGAACCAAGCTTCACTCCTCATGCAACCGTCCTTGGCCTTTGGTGTGACCCGAACAACAGAACACTGCTCAGCGCTTTGGAGCACGGAAGCTTGCCCATCACGAAATCACTCTTGCGGGGTGACATACACACCAACCTAGAGCTCTGTAACTGTCCTCCACAGTTCGGGCATTCCATGCTTTCAGAGCCAGTTTCTTGCATGCCCCCGCCAGTTTGCCAAGTGTCTTCATCATTTCAGTGTGAAGGCCTGAGATTTCTCTGGCCAGTAAACTGGATCGGTGCACTGTTCAGGCTGGTGTTGACAAGGACAAGCTGGCCAAGACGGAGGCGCATTTTGCGTGCGTCCACACGTGGTTTCTTCTCTTGGGCAGTTGGAAAAGAGCCAAGGGCCAAGGCCCGCAGCCATCGGGTCAGCACCCCAATGTTGCGCTTTGGTTGTAAACATGAGGTTTGGCTAACGTACCTGTATTCAACTTAAGCCTCATTTCGATCCAAACTAGAGTTGGACGCAAAGCACTCGATGAATCCTCAGATATGGTTGTATGTTTGTGCACATGATTTCACACAATAGTGTACATATAAGTATAGAGGTGTGCATATATGATATATGCATGAATATAGACTGGTTTCGTTTTCTTTCTCACGTCGATAGTTGCGTTCTGTTTTCACGCATTTTATTCAATCATCTACTTATTGGCTTATTCATGCTTATATATGTTATTGTTCTTTCATTCATTGACTTGTTCATCTATTTATTTGTTATCAACTATTTATTCTTTATATGTGGTAGCTCATTCCATTCATTGCATTTATTCCACTCATTCATTCATTCATTCATTCATTCATTCATTCATTCATTCATTCATTCATTCATTCATTCATTCATTCATTCATTCATTCATTCATTCATTCATTCATTCATTCATTCATTCATTCATTCATTCGCTCAATCATTCATTCATTCATTCATTCATTCATTCATTCATTCATTCGTTCGTTCGTTCGTTCGTTCGTTCGTTCGTTCGTTCGTTCGTTCATTTATCCTCTCATGCATTCATTTGTTTGTGTACTTAGTGTTTTTGTCATCGCTTTGCTTAAAACTATGTTTATTGATCTTTTTCATTTGATGTGTATTGATCAATCCATTATTTTGTCACGTTTATGTTTATTTATTCGAAACAAATATGTATTGATTATTTGTTATTTATTTATTTGATTTTTTTTTTATTCATTTATTCATTTATTCATTTATTTGTTTATTCATTTATTTGTTCATTGGTTTATTTATTTGTTTGTTTACCTATTGCTAGCGTAGTCCTTCACATATTGATATTCAGACATTCATTTGTTCAATTGTTCATTTGTTGTTGTATGTTTGTTAAGTTGTTCATGTATTCACTTCTTGACTTATTTGTTTGTTATAGTACTATCAGAGGACGTGTAACAGGATCCTCCGTATAACAGAAACTAGATAAGTTAGCTCTCTTTAAGAAGGCATGCATCTGCGCGTAACCTTCAATGGATACACTGCGCGCGAAGCAACTCAGAACTGAATTGACGCGTGCCGAAAGCCTCACCGTCAATGTGCGCGAAGGTCTCGGAGGCGCTGAGCGGTGGAGTAAGGAGAGGGCAACATCGGTTGCCAGAAGCCGCTTGTTAGGCGGAGGTTCTTGCAGGACGGGGTCCCCTGAATGGAGCCATGCTGAATTGGAAAGCTTCCGAGGGCGCTTCGATGGAGTGGTTTCACTTTGCTCAAGGTTTGCCGGTTGCGTTTTGGCTCTGATAGTTTTGTTTGAGCAAAGCCCCACGCCGTTGGAATGTATCCGCGCTTTTGGGATGTTTCTGTGGAAGCCTTCAATCATGATTGGTGGACATACATTCCCGAGTAAATTGATGTCCACCAAAGGAACCCGAATCGGAATTCATAGTCATACAAACGCGTATATGCAAACACACACACACACACTTTTGCGCGCACTTGAATACTTTGGACCGTGGGGCGTTCAGATGTAGAGCAGCCAAGCACGTCAGTAGCAAGTAGCAGCATGAGGGCATACAACCGATTGACCAAGTAGTTTGATTCCGCCCATGACTCCATCACCCATGAACATTACAGAATGATTGCATGGATTTGTCTCGAAGCGGGGGCCCACAAAATGTTGGTGTTTTTTTTCTCCATTGAACAACCACCCCGGTACCCGCAAAAGCAAACGCCCCTGCATGACACAACCAGATGGCTTGCCAGCTTTCGCTGCGCTTTGCCCGGACCCTCCCCCCCCGGTCAGTATGAGGAACATCAACACTGAAAAGGACGGACAACGGCGCACGGTTCCTCTCGGAAGCAATTGTTTTGCTGAGGTGGCTTGTTCTATTCCGTCGCTTTACAACACTATCACTTTTTCCTCTCTTCTCTTCCTGTGACCTGTGAAGACAACCCCAAACAGAACGAGGCAACCGCGTGACCAGGTTGCTGCTCCGCTCATCCCAACCAGGTCCCAAAATGGACACCCATGCGGAAGGCCCAAAGTTTCCGGCAAGGCGGAAGAGAAGACGCTGTGGGCCGGCGTCTTACGTTGGATCTGTCCGGGCGGCGTTTGGCAAGCTCTGGTGACCAAAAAATATGCCCGCCGACGGGACCATGATTCTTGGACCTCCAGTGGGCTGCTCCTTTTTTCCTTTCTTTTGGAGGGGTTTCCCTTTAAAATCAACTACGAGGACAAAAGAGCGCCCTTTTTTGCCTGGGCACTTGAAGGTCTGGGTGTTAGCGACACGAGTCAACATACTTAGTGGTTAAGCATGGCTATGAGAAAAGCTGTAGGCTGCCACTTTCTTCGAGTGGCCACGGAATCCACTCTAAAGCGATAACCTTGGACGGGAAAAGCAACCACTCAACGGCATCCCAGAAAAGTTTGTGTTCCACACCCATGGATCTTGATTCCACCGTATCCACAGGCTCCTTGCGGTTCCATGCGACAGCGCTGTGATAGGCATCGGAATTTTCGTTGGAACTCCCCTGAAAAGAGAGCCTCCCTTCGGCATGGTGGTGTTGAAAGGGGAAACGTACCTGGAGGAAAGGAATACCGTGCAGAGGGAGCTGCAGCGCGACTCTCACCCTAATGTCAAGTCAGTGACTTTGATCTAAGGGGCCAAATTATTACGCATGATTCTCTTGTGATGACTAAACTTGGCTTTAGGCTACCTCGCAACCTGATTCTAATTTAGGCTCGTATGGCACCAGCCCCTCAAAAAAGCCGCTGATGGCAGCCGTATGTGGCCTCATGCGGACTCGGCCTGGAAAAAGTCACGGGGGATTGTTTCGGGGTTGGTTGTTTGCACAAATAAATGGGTGAGGGCTGAAACTTTGACACTCTGGGAGGATAAGTGCCCAATAGGAGGATTCAAGCAAGCCAAGGGGGATAGGACCCTCGACTGCCACCAAGGAAACATGAAGTATATGCGATTAGAGTGCCTATATGGTCCTGTACCCATTTTTTCCTTTTGAGAGTGGACCTTTAGAGGTGCATGGAAACTGCCTATGTTTTGGCGAGCACGCCGATTCCAGGGTGAAACCAGTGAATTTCCGCGACGTATTCAAATCTTATTTCAGGTTTGGAATTATTGCAGGATTTGCAGGGAACATAGCAAGCCAGTCAACTCAAGGGGCTGGGCGTTTTGAGGGCACCCTGTTCATTTTTGGCTTTGGAAACCAAAGCAAAATTCCGAAATCCATGGGGGTTCGGGTCCCTTTGACCCAGGTGGAGCCCAGTGGCAAGAGCGACAGCAAGGACGCGGTATGGCTTGGCCCCCTCTCTGCACGCCCGAGCCCCGAGCGCCGAGAGTGGGCCGGGCTGGTCCTTCGGACTCGCCCCAGCTCCAGATGCCAACCGCAAAACAGGGAAAGCTTCCTGGGCCAAACGGCTCCTTTGGGGATCCTTCAGGTTTCTCATTTTCAGGGGTGTATATTATGTGTATATATATATATATTCATATATATACGTATATCTACATGCGGAAGACCAGCTGGGCAAGCCAAGCAAAACCCCAAAAACTTCGGTACAGTGCACCGACTCGCACTCCGGGCCCTGCTTTGCGATCTCTTTTTCACCCACTCAGCTGTATCGACATGGAGGCCTTATTAGGTAAAACATCAGCAGCCTCAAGAGAGGCTGTCAGTTTGCTTGTTGTGCTCCTGACATATCGTCACAGAAACAAGGCTAGGCACGGCCATACTTTTGATCACTGACAGAAATTGTTGCTGCTAATCGATTGTTACTTTGAGGGCGGGTGGAGCAACTCATTATTGTCCGATGCCCCATATGCAACCCGCGGGCAGAACAGGGACGTTTTCCAGCCAGGAGACAACCTCCCCCAACTGCCAACCACTGACACCAACCAAGTCCTTGTCAGCCCCCCGCCGTATTATGATGAACACGCAGGTTCGATGTTCAAAGTGTGTTTCAGATCTGTGTAGAGGGTCGTTTAAGGCTTTGTGAGCTTTGTTTAGGTCGTCTACCAATGTTTGTTAAGATGTGTGAAGTTTCTGGGGTTTGTTGGCCCAACAACCCCCAAACACTGATAGAAAAAGCCTTTAAACAACTAATCAGCAACCAACACCAACCCAGGCTATTTCATTTTATGAGGGTTTGTTGGGCTTGTTGGGTTTGTTGGGGATTCAGTTTGTTGTTGGTCTCCAACGCGTTTCTTCATGTTTCGCTCGTCAGGGGAAGTGCTGAAGATGGCGGAGGACCAAAGCCTTGGCCCGGGGCTCGAGTAGTCTCGCCTCGGAATGTCTCGGGGAGCGCCGCGGATTCCGAGCGGATGGTTGGCAAATTCGTTCGCAGGGTTCACTGTAATTTGGGGGGTGGCTTCTTTTTGAGTGTGATTAGCTTGGTTTAAAGCAAAACCGAAAGCAGAACCGTGACCCTCCTGTTCGCTAACATTGAACCGTGGAACCGTTCCACCGTAGGGTCACTTTTGAAGGAACGGGGTCTTCCAGGACCCCCCCATTTGAGGTTGTCCGTTCAAAGCTTCCCCGGATCAAGGTGATCGGGGGGCTCACCATCCGTAGATGTGTTGATTGGTACCTTTCCTGTAGGTTTTTGGATCTTTGACGGGTTTCATTGTGGACCTCGTTTCCGTTCCGGTTGAAACGACACCCTATCATGGAAGACACAAAAAGCAAGGGAGGATACTCCTGCCACCAAATCACCAAGGAGGTCTAAACCAAATATGCAATACGGACATCGGTCGGATCTATCATGTTCCCCAACGTATTTCCTCTCAGCAACCAGGTGTTAAAAGCTGGTTCCCACATCCGCTCATGTCGGTACCAAAGTGAATCCTCCCGAAAGACCGCCCGCCAATGTCAACATGGGGCAGTTTGTATTTTTGGTGGGCCAATCACCCGCCTATGAAGGCGTGTAGAGTTGTTTTGGCTGCATTTATTTAGTATTCGGGTGGAACTCGCTCAAGCAAACCCGGTTTGTGGTAGGACCTGGTAGGATAGTGTACGCATTCAGCATAGGCCCTAGGCCATTCCAACAAGATCCTGCGTGGTCCGCAAAGGCGTTGTTTTGCCACGTAGTTCACAGAGTAGCTCAGGAACAAGTGCGCGTAGGTGCTTGCATAGGCGGGGGGCCCGCGCCCTTCAGAGGCATTTGCCATAATATAACATGAGGTACTGGCAATACTCTCGCGCTTGCGGGATGTAAGAGTCGCGCACATTGTGTTGGACAATCACGAAGCCCGGTAAAACGATAAGGTGCAAAAAAAACGATAAGGTTTTTGGGTGTTTCCGTGTTGTTTGTGCTGGAAAACGATAAGGTTTGGAGCATGGAATGCACGTATTGCTAGCATTTTGCTCAATCTTGTTTGCTCCCTTTCCGTCCTTCCTGTTCACAACCATGGCTTGGAGCATTGAGACCGGGGAGAGGCTTCCGAGTCACGACGCTGAAAACGATAACAAAACGATAACAAAAACGATAACGTTTTTTGACAGAGCCCATGCCGCAGGCCCATGCCCGTGAGGAGTTGCCCATTGAGAGGAACTTAGCCACTCTACCCTAGCTTTCCCTTTGATGTCTCCCGGCCAGGGACAGCATACTTGTCTTTTACGTTGGAACATGTCTTGGACTCTACGTTGGAACACATTATTGCAGTTGATGAGCGCAGGCTAGCCAAACAAATTGAAGCAAGCAATCGCAAACGAAAAGCATGGAAGGAGCTTGCTGCTCGTGAGTCCGACGAAGAAAGCCCTTGAAGCCACCATGAGAGCTGATGCGCGCAGTTGTCCAAAAATGCGCGAACCCCGGTAAAACGATGAGGTGCAAAAAAAAAACGATAAAGTTGAACATACATCTAATGCGTAAAACGATAAACTTTGACGCAAAACCGATAAGAAAACACATGTGCAGCCCATTTCAATTGAGGTTTTGCCGCGGCCTCACATGATTTCAGTGCATGGTTTAATGTACCCCAAACACGCACTCAACCCATGCCTGACTGGCTGACTGGCTGAGGCCCTGATGGCTTGGTTTGGGGTCTCCACGACCGCGGAGAGGACGGCTTCCGCTTTCCGGCCGATCTTTCCGGTCCGGAGGTAAAACGAGGATTCATGTCTGAATTCTGATTTCAGGTGGAGTTGTGGTAACACCAAAAGGCACATGCCATGCGAACCAAAAGGCTGGCTTGGAAGTTCCACGCGACCCTGGGAATGTGGGGGATCCCGGCACACGACATGACATGAGCGTTCCACGAAGCCTCGCAACGGCTGCCTTGAAGTGTGATATTGGGACTTCTTTGGGATTTTGGTCATGACCCACGTCTGTAAATGTCTATTATTTTGGGTTCAAATCATGTTTTCAGGACTGCCAGCAATCAACTAACTTTCTTCAACAGTTGGGAAATGGAACCTACTCTCCTGCAAATTCTATAACGTGGAACTCAAAACACACACTCAGTTGTAGAGAAACTCCTTTTGCGGGACCCCGTTAATTTGTAGGGGAGTAGCTTGCTGAGACCTGCAAGCAGCAAGCCTTAACTTCCTTGTTGCGAAATAGTTCTCCAATCGGCCAACCTGAGACGCTGGATTCTCGGATTCGCTCCGATCGCGACAGGACATGTGTTGCAAGGAACCCATTCGAACCCAGTTTCAATCATGTGCTTTTCGCAATGGAAAGGTACCCACTTGTTAGAAACCATTCAACAGGTTGCCCAACAAGAGTCCATTTTTTGACCCGCCCGCTTCGTGTTTCGAGGAGAAGCCGAGCAGCAAGGGCGCGCTGCCCTTGTGGTCGACCCCTCAGTCGAGCTGAAGGGGTGAGAGCATGTTTGTAAGGGTCGATTCCCGTACTCTTCACCCATCCTGCTGAGATTGCCACCTGTTGCCCATATTGCTGACAAAAACGGGGTGAATTCATTTTGTTGAGGGCTAGATTGAGTCTTTTTCTCAGGTGCCATTTGAACAGATGGATCCCTGAAGAGATTTCCGGAGAATACGGCCAGAATGTTACAACGTGAATCCTTTTCGCCAAAACGCAGGGGTCCAAGGGAAGCCTTTTTGTATAGTTTTTTTTTGTGGCTCAGTTTACTTTCCCCAGAGCTTCTCTTAAAACTACGACAGGGTAAGAGTAGATGGCACAACTCCCGCTACATGTGGTGGGTAAGCGACGGGATGACGGACGGGATGACGAAACCAATGTGAAGGAATTGTGCCATCTTCTTCCCTCAATCGCATTTGGACATGCCAGTTTCGTTTTGTGTTGTGTTGCGTTTGCTGGTTTTGCCCATTGGTGTTTGGCCTTCAGCGGTTAGCTTGCCTGAGTCGGCGCACTTCCAACCTTTTCTCGGCAGGCGTGTTCACCATTTTTCCGTAAAGGCCCCATCCAACGTCTGAACTTTTTGTAATGTGGCCAGTCAGAAAAAGAAGAAGAAGCAACAAACAGCAAACAACAGCTGCTTTCTCCCAAGTGGTCAAGGCAGTGCCTGCCGGAGCTGGGCAACCAGCTCCGCCGGGCCTCGGAGGCGCGGAAGCTGGTTGCCGGGCGTGGCCAGCGTCCTTTGTTTGAGGGTGTGGCCCTGTCCGTTGTTTAAGCGGTTTTAAAACGGACGCGTTTGTCAAAAGGAAAGCCGAAATCCATTTTGCGCATTTTGGGGGTGAGCTGAAAAAAGACACCCATATACCCACAAGATCATGGGGTAGTCCAAATCTAAGCCATCCAGAACGCCAAAGGGATACGGGGGTTTTCTAGAACCAGCCAAATTGGGGTCCACCTCATGCAAATACCCAGCTGTTCCACGGTAACAACCTAAAACCAGTGTACACACACACACATGGCCGCCCAGAGGCCTGGGCCTGATTGGAATAAGCTTGGGGCCCAAAAGCTCCGGGGGGAGATAACCAACTATTTTTCACAAAAGCGAGGGGACGGGCCAATTTTCCCACCTCCTGTGGAGGAAACAACTACTCCTAGAATGTCGACACATACCCGCTTGTACCCTTTTATTTTGCAGCTTGGAGCGCCGCTTGCTCCCTGCAAAAAAAGATCCCTCTGCAAATTGCGATCCTTTTGTTTGGCTCCATGTTAGTCTGGGCATGGACATTGGGCTGCTTTCGCTTCCTGCGAAAACGGGAGCTGAAGAGGCCAACTTCCCCTCATAGCAAGGTGAGCCACTGCAAGCCTACTACTAAAGACAACGGGCCCGGCTCTGAGTCAAAATGGATGTGAATTTTGATAGGGTGTTTTCTGGTGGACCTTTGGGAGGGGATGTGTGTCCACCCGCTTTGGGTGGTTCCGGCTGTTGAAATTCCGCAGGTGCAGCTCCGGCAGCGTTTGGAGAAGCGATTCCAGGAGATGCCCAGACAGGAGCGCCACGCTCCTTGCTATGTCTCGATGGGAGTGAAATCTAAAAGGAGTGCTAGTCCAGTTGAGGCTGCTGAGGCCCATCCGGAAAGAAGGCACTCGAGGCGCCGGCGGGACATGTTTTTGCAGGGCGGTGTTTGGCGATCCATGTTCTATTCTCTTTTGCAGACGGGTATGGTGTTTGCAGATCTCTTGTGTTACTTTCCCTCCCTGAAATGATAGGCAACTGCTTCATGTTGTTTGACGTCGCACAGGGGCAATGACCGGTTCGACTCGGCTCTGGAGCGGTTCGAAACGGCGGGCGGTTTTTGGCTTGTGGAAGGGCTCCGGCAAATCCAAAATGACCGGCTCTGTGACTTGGCATCTTGGACTACTCCACGTCTTCTTCCGAGTGTGCACTTGGCCTTGCTGTTTGGCAGGAGACGGTGCCATTTTCTGGCATCCCCTTCAAGACACAAGTTGGCTCATGGTGACGCAACATGTACCTAGGGCCAAAATGGCAGCGGGTCAAACAAAGTACCCAAAATGGAACCCTGGTAAATGGAAACAAAGACTAGCCCCAGTGGTGCCCTGGGTTAGTTTTGACCCAGGCCCAAATGGAAATCACATGGGTAGCACCAAAGGTCAGCTCGTCTTGGGCGCTGAATTTGGATTTCATCGGCCCTCGGCAATGGAACTCACCAGGAGGATGCCACAGACGTCCTGGGGTGAGCGAGGTGATCTTAGGATGGCCAGCGCAACTGGGCGGTTTGGTCTCCTTTATTGCAATCTCCACGAAAAGGGCGGGGGTTAAACACGCGATTTCACCCAAGGATGTAGGTCCTGTACTTGAAGTTCCTATGTTTCAGGTTTTGAGATTATGGCAAATGTTCGTTGCAGATTCAAAAAGAGGTCTAAGCAAAGGAACCCTTGCCCTTATGACATGCAACCATGTCCGCTCTCAAAGTCGGGCTAGGGATCTCTTTTGAAATGATGGTGCCACCGTCTATGGTGCCACCGTACATTCTAAGGTTCACTAGATATGGGTTTGTCCCACAGGCGGTTTCCCTTTAATTCCCTTTAAAGCAAATCGAAAGGGTCCCCCCCAAACAAAACACAAAACAAATACAACAAACCAACAAAAACAATACACACACCCACAAAGGACCAGAATCTGAGACTGTTCATGTGGTTCCGACAATTGTTCAGAATGGCCAAATCGCAAGGGAAGAAGCGGTTGTTGCTCCCTGCGTTACCGCGTTTGGGTTTTCGAAACACATCTTTTGCCCGAGACCCACATCTGCCCTGCAGAACATCTTCGCACCACAGGGCTCATTTTTCTGCCGATCCAGTCTTTGGAGCAGCCCTGTGCCTCGAGCTGGCCCCGACAGATCTGTAGAGTCACAGCTTTCGAGATCCTTTGGACACTGGATATTTGGGTTTGTGTCAAAGGATAGACCTGGCCTGGAAAAAAACGGGACACACCTTGGTACCCCTTCCGAGCGGAAGTTTGTCTCAAAGGATAGACTTGGGAAACGGGACACACCCGCCGAAGTACCACTCGGCAAAGGACTCCCTGGTAACCTACTTTACGACAGCAACTCTGTTTCCCATGGTTGTCAGCCCCCCAAACTTAAAGAGGGGAGCCCCCTCCCAAAAGAAAGGCACCTAAAACGAACACTGTTAGCCCCTATGCCGCAAATAGCGTCTAGAAGCCATTGGGACTGAGGGGGGGCCTTTGCAGGGCCCTTGACAACCATAGGATCTGTTAATGAGGTTCTTTCGCCTTTCGGCATCCCTGGCGCGCGCTTGAAGCGCGGCGCCGGTACTCCGCGGGCTGTGAAAAAACAAAGGAGCTGAGATGTGTCGGCGGCTTGACGGATATCACCTGCACCAACGAGAGATATGAACAGGCTGCCATAAGAAACAACGTGTTATATCCTTCTTACTTGTTCAACACCGGCCCTTCAACCCTTTGGTTTCTCCTCCCTGGCGCATTTCAAGTCGCGCCAAAAGGTTCACCCTTTCCAGGTCCTTTGGGGTGAGCCTTTCAAGTGATGGATTAGTCATAGGGACGGCCCACTTTCACGCAAGGGTGTGGCTTGTACAAACATGTATGCACCGTTTCAAAATCGCGGTTGTCTTGCAATTACCATGATGTATTACATCCACTGTGATAGCTGACTGTGTAAATAGTGTTGTTCATATCTCTCGTCGGTGCACTATGGATAAACCACGTCGTTTCGTATGGTGCCCTTTTGGGGCTGCCTTAAAACTGAGCTCAAAGGCAACCATCTTTTTGTTTTGCCGCGGGGGCATTGCGAGACGAACCCTGACATAGGAATGCCCGCGATGGCTCCACACGCACACGGGGTGGGCTCGGGAGTGACGTCAACACGCAAGCTGCCAAACTTATAGGAACTCGAAGCCGCTTTAAAGAGAGGAGGATGTTTGGCAGGCTGTTGGTCACCCGTCCCGAAACACGGATGGGACGTTCCCATGTCCCCTGGTCGGCCCAAAAATCCAGAGCTGCCCATGTTTTGGTTTGTTGTTTGGAGAGGCTGAAACCCTTTCAATTCAGGTTACCCTGAATTGGTGGTTTGGATTGGTGGCTTGGGGAAATCAGCCCCTGGTTCTGGTAGAGGGTAAATAGCCAGCCATCCCCTATCCTCCAAACCACCAATCCAAATCACCCGTCTGTTGAGAGGGCCCCGACGCACAAACCAATGTTTCAATTAGAGGGAATCTGATCAAACTCGTTGCACTGAGCCGAGAAAGCGTGTTTGCAGGCAGGCCGAAGCCGCATCGCAGCAGGAGGGGCCAGAACCTCAGCCCCCTTTCATTCCCGACGTTTGGTTCCCTTTCGTTGTGGAGGTCCATATAAAAGCAACCGTTCTTTCGGGGTCTTTATAATAGTTGCCCATTTAGCCCTTTTGTTTCTCCTTCTCGGCACAATTTTAGTTACAGGCCCAAGTTGCGATCCAAGTGAGTCCTGAAGGTTTCTATTGTGTTCTGGACTTCTCACATGCGCATAAACAGTTGTTCGGATCCAATCCCATTTTGTTTGGTTCCCTATTAAAACTAATGGTCAGCCCAACATTTCTGCCGGGTTCCTGAACAACTGGCTAAAGCTTGATTTAGGCCCCCCTACCAAATTTGGGAATAGCGCTCCTGAGTTGGTCTGAGGCTTTCGCTAAGGCGGCGAGAGATGAGTGTCTGGAGGAACACATCCGGAGCACCTCGAGAAAATGCTGACATGGACCGTCGAACTACCCTGACAAAAATAATCACTCGTTACGTTGGGTTGCAACGTCAAGCATTTTTTTGGTAGCATGAGCGTCTAGGTAGACACAACGCAGCAGATTGCCTGCCTGCCGGCCCTTTGTTGTGCGTGCATAATTTGAATTCCTTTCATTCTAGAGCCTTCTTCGCGAAAGTCATCAAACACGAAAGGAGAACTGCAAAACTGGGGTGCATGTTCGCTATTGGCGGACCTGGGATTGGACATTACGCAATGAGATCGTTGATCATATACTGGTGAGTTCAACCAGCTCACCAAGGTTGACCAAGAGACTCCTTTCAGGTTTTGGGGGTGCGAAAAAGTTGCAGATGTGGGTTAGACGTGAAACCCCAAAGGTAACCCCCATGTAAACCCATGACAAATGGATATTGCTCAAAACAAGGGGCGATTCGATTTCCCTTTTTTTAAGGGAAGTTTGAGGCCGGGTAGTAAATTGCAGTGAGCGACAGGAGTTCCCTAGATCCCCTATTGTTTGGCAGATACTTGAGGACTGTTTTGATGTATCCCGGGTTCCTTGTTACCCTTTCAGAATTTTCATGGTCCTTTTATTCATGATGGAACCCTTTTTAGGGGTTGGAATTGGAACCCACATGGACAGCCACCTGCACTAGAGGGGTCAATCCACATCTTGCTTTTTTTTGTTCATCTGAGTGGCTAGCGATATGAACAAGGTCTTTTGCTGGCATACGAAGGCTTGGACAATTTGTGCTCCTCTGTTTCATTTGCCAATCAACATCCTGGAAGCGCCGAGGGTTCGCATTCATCGGTCAACATGTTTTGCCTATTGTTCACTTCCAAAGGACGAGAAGGGGAGAAGCTCTAAGGTTCCCATATCCAACACCAAATTCTGTTCGTCGCTCATTCGGAGACATACAAATGGTTCGAAAGGCATCCGCCCTCGTCAACGCTCCCAACACCCCTCAACCCCTCCACAATCTTCCCCACCCTCCCCAGCGTCCTCAAACACCCCATTTGGAAAACAGGGCACCTCCAAAGTGGTTGTCCCTTTGAATTAACCCTGGAAAGGGCGCCTTTCTTCCCAGCGCACAGACCCTTCGGCCCTTCGGCATCCTTGACCGATCGGTGAGGCTGCGCGAAAGCTTTGGGCAGCTCGACCTGGGCACGGCCAGGGTCCCCGTCCCGCCCGACCAAGACGGGATCCATCCTGGGTACTGTAAAATGCGTACCAGCCTCTTGCTTGAGCCAGAATCAAAGTAGAGCAAGCTGAGGGATGGGCACTCCTTTACACGATTTTGGGCAGTTCAGTTGTTTTTTTTTTAATTAAACCAGGTTTTGGTTGTGACCCAGTGTCTGGACTTTTGCCAATCCACTTAGGAAGTGAGTACTTGATTGATTCCCTCGAACAAATGCAGAATACTTGCTCGTTCTGGGTCGCGGCCTGGTGGATGTCTGTTTCAGCATTTCACATGCTACTAGCCTCAAAGCAATCAACTATATTTGGTGGTGTCTCAAAATTCGGCCCCCGCCAAAATGGTTGGTGTCCTTTGGCTTCCCTTTAAAACCAGCCACAAAGGGGTTCCCTGAAAAAGGCAAGCCGATTTGGATACCTTGACCCTCAAACTCTCCAGAAACAAATTAAACAGGTGATTTCTCTGAAGGGTAGCTTGAGGCTTTGAGGGTTGACCACTGCAAACGGCTTCCTTTGCTTCCGTGTCCCGCAATCGTTGCAATTTGGGTGTCGCCAACTTAGGTGTTACTTCCCAATTTTCTCTGGGGATCCTGTTCATAAGATTCCCAGAGGGCTGCCATAGGGTTCGATTTACGAAAACTGGTTGGGGAAAAGGGCAGCGATCCCTATAGCGACTGGGTATCTCCTTCCATGATGGAAGCAACGAAGTGCGAACCCTGCGCCTTTTGGCGGGTTCTATCCCAAGTGGCTAACCACATTGACTTGGCCCACTTCCAAGAACCTTTGGAGTGGTTTCAAGGGAAGCCAACGGGCATACAGTCCCTTTTGGGGCTCCGCTCCCTATTTGCCAACAACATGCACCAAGAACATTTGAGTGAGGGGTAACGTGGGACAAGCAGAAATGGGAACCCAGCAATCTCTGCCCCTTTGGAGTACATGATTTTCCCATTGCAACTCAAAGGACATGACTACGGGACATGGAGATCAATCACGTCCTTTTCTGGACTTCGGGAATGCTCAGCGATACTTCCGGGATCAACCTCAGGGTAAAATTCGGTGACCAGAAACTGGAACTAACACACTTAAGTGTCTCAGTTGCTCCGACTATTTTTCCCTTGTGCAGTTTTAGTTCGTGTCAGCTGCAAAAGCAGGTCGTGCTGCACAGACAGTACTGGGGTCTCCTCCAAAGCAATTTGTTGTTTGGGGGTGGGCACAGTACGAAACACAATCGGAACATATTACTTTCTGTGCACACCTTGTTTGTGGGCCAAGACAGTGTGCAGGTCATTATTGGTTACCTGTTTGCAGCTCTTGCATTGAACCCCAGGATCGTACGGGGCGGGTCGGATGCGAGAAAGTTTGGGGTCCG